GGGGAGACTTATGGTAGAAAGCAAGTGAAGTCAGAAAAAAGGCTAGATGTAGTACTACCACTACAATCTGCTGGGAAGAAGGAGCGAGCAGGGAGTTGCGAGGACGGGGCACCGGCCGCTGACTGCAGACATTGAAAACACGATGAAGCTTGTGAGGTCAAGAGTTCAAGATTCAAGGCAATAGTGTAGAATTCTGTGGGCTATAGCCAACGTTCGCTAACTGGGGGGAGGAGGAGGGGGCGGTGTTTGAAAGGGCAGCAAAGTCAAGTGAGGGAGGGACAGAAAAGGGTATCAACGAGCAGGGCGTGGGGTAACAGGGCTAGGCCCTTAGAAACTTAGAGCGAAGCAAGTGCGAAGTAGAGTCTTCGCTGTTTGGAGAAGAGACGCCGGGCATCTCGGCTTGCCGAAGATTTTATAACGCGGCCAACGGCTAAGCTAGTACAGTACATGTATAGTTTTCAGACTCTCTGGTAACATTACAAACAGTATTTTTTGTGGGCCTCTTGCGTGCATTGGTGTCTCACCAAAAATGTTCTATATAGGTGGGTGGTTGGCGGGTGCTCTGGAGTGGTTTGCTTCTCTTTATTATCAAACATGTATCGTCCTTAACTCCCCTTCTTCTTTTTTTATATTCGTTACTCTCTTGTAACACCTCTAATCTTCTGGCGCTCATATATGACCTTATGCAGTAGCAAGCACCTTAAAAACTCTAGATCTACTGAAAGTAGAAAGAAAAAGTTATATATATATATATATATATATATAATATATATATACACACATGTATATTATTATATTGCGATGTTCCGGTACTTTCAGGATCAAAGTCGAAGGCGTAAAAATTATAAAATTGAATGCTGAATGACCTATCAATCACAATTAACAGTCTATCTATGGTAGAGAAAACAAAAAAGTCAAATGGATAGCTTTGACAACGCCTCAGTCGTAAGCCACATGCTATTAAAAGGTGAAGAAATGGACGAAGGAGAATTGGCGAGGGGGGTTACCAATAGGACCTTACTGTATTACAATCTCTTTGGAGGGTACTGAAACTGAAAAATAAAGTAGAGAAGGGCGAATTAACATGGAAATGGGGGGCTCATGGTTAGAAATTGAGGTATTCGTCTCTCATTCAATGGGTCTCTAGTTCGAATCCGGATAGTGACGGAACATTGCTTTTCGTTTTTAAAAATATTGACTCCTGTCAACTCCTTTGCTGCTCTCTATAACAACGTTCTGTCGTCTGCTTTCGTCTCCACCCCATCACCCCTCCTCTGGCTGGGCTTTCCGAAGCCTTTCTACTTCTGCTGCTACTCCTTTTGTTCCTTCTTTCTGTGTCTTTCAGTCACACCCCCCGATCTTAAGGCAGGTAAGATCTATACCTAGTTTTATCGGGTAAGGGCGAAAAATCTCGGAGGTCCCGTCAAGTTTCGTACGTTAAAGATCCCTTGGTGGTCCAAAATCACGACTTCGGCCGCCTCCCCCCCCCCCCCATCCCCGGGCAAAATTCAAAATTTCCTACCATCTAAAAATGTTTCATGCGCGCGCTCATATATTATGACCTTATGCAGTTGCGAGCGCCGTAAAACACTTACAAAATAAATTGAAACGATTAAAGGCGGGATGGGCTTCATAAAAGGAATGGATAAAGGAGGGAATGGGAAAAGAAGGGGAATATTATGGATAAAGAAGAGAATGAGGGGTTATGATTGGGGGGGAGGGGGGTTAATAAAGGATGATCATGGACTATTGAGAACTAAGAGAATCTGGACGAAGTAGAAAAAATAGCTTTTTCCTTTTCAAGAGAGAATGTGCGATTACGGAAGAAATTGACAAAGAAGATAATGGAAATTAAGGAAAGAATAATATATTGAACAAAGGAGAGATTGACAATAATTCACAATTACTGAGGGAATCGACAATTAATTTATTAAAGGTAAGAATAATGGCAAAGGGGACGGACGATTTTAAGATAGACAAAGGAGAGGAGTGAGCGATTAAATGGGTGCAGAGACAGGAACGAGCATCTACATTAGGCCTATATATCATGAGAGAATCATGACTGATTCCCGTTCGTAATAATTTGGGATCATCGTGGCCGTTAAAAACGCCTCTATAAGCGCAATGCGTAGACCTAGCGCTATCTGAATCCTAGTTTATACGTAGGCCTTCTCAGAACTGAGAAAGCATGGGTTTAGACCCATATAATTAAAATATGTATAGCCGGCTGATCCTTATATCTGCTCTCCAGGGGCGGCTCGTGGGCCTAAAAAGTGGACGTGCACAATTAATTAAGCTATCGCACGCTGAAGATACATGTAGTCAAGGGCCTGTAATTGATGAGACGGTGTATAATTTTAGGATCTTTGGGTTGGTGAGGGAGGACCTCGTGTTTTTATTTTCACTCTTTTAACCGCCGCTTTGATTTCTAGTACATGTAGGCCTACTACATTTGTTTGTTAGCTAAACGTCAATTTCGTTCATCCTGTATTGGAACTGAACACTCAAGTAATAACTTTCACCACTCCACTACAAAACAGTTCAAAGGCACAACTCGTAGAACGGTCACGTTAACCTCCCTCAGGTTCACGGTCAAGAGTCACTTAAAATAGTGGCAAGGCAGACAATCAACCAATCACAATTAACTTGAGTACTCCGCTGGATTGCTCTGGGGCTCACGTAATATTGGCAAGGAATAGCGTACGGTCTATCGCGTTTATTTTTAGACTGCCTACCGTGGGCTATGTTTCGGCACTATTCGACAGGAGCACATTTGAGATGTGCCGTCTTATTAATATTAATGTACCGCCGAACTCGCTACGAGTGTCGTCATCGCTCGGGTTATCCCCAAGAGCGATTTATAGGTCAGGTTAAGCTGTTGAATATCCTATTATGTTTAGCTAAAGCGCCTGGACTTCAGCATTGCATAGTAGATGTTTTACGGCGCTATAGACACAGAAACGATAGTTATGGCGCCAGTGAGGACCTTGTTTTGATATAATATTTGGCTAGTGTTTGTTTCTGGCTTCTTTTATTTTATTACATGTATTACGTAATAGAACATTAAACATTTTTTGGCGGCACTGCACGACCGTGCTCTATGGACGAACCGCGCCTGCTGCTCTCTAATCTTGTTCTGCGGTCTACTTTCATCACAACAACACAAGCAAGACTCTCGTGGTCTAGAAATACGATGTTCGCCTTTCATTCAATAGGTCCTGGGTTCGATTCCTGACAGCGACAAAACATTTCGTCTTTAAATTTAAAAAATTATCCTTTCACTCTTGCTCCCAATAAAACAACCATGGTCTGTCTACTGTTTTCTTAAATATCCAACCCTCCCGAATCTCTACTGCCTTTCTTTTGCGAATCATTGGCAGCTACTCTTTCTTACTGCTTTCTTTCACTTTCAGCCACCCTTGATCTTAGGGTAGGTAAGATCGAACACGACCTAATTATAATATAGCCTTCTCGGAAAGTAGCGAAAAAATCTCGGAGGCCCTGTGTGCAAGTTGCGCTCGTTAAAAATCTTCTGGTTGTCCTGACGTCGACCAGAGTAGATTTCGGCTGCCTCCCGGGAAAAAGCAAAATTATGGAAATACATAATGTAGTTCAACGTGCCTGGCGCGCTTATACCTTATGTATGCGGTACGAGCGCCGTAAAACACTTCCAGAAAAACTCCCAACAAAACAAAACAAACCAACCCTTCTCCCCCCAAAAAAACAACAACAAAACACACAAAAAACCCCACAAGCCACCCCATTCTCTACGTTTCGTGTATAACAAAGGATCTATCTAAAATCTAAAAGAACGGTTCAGGCTTAGCATCACCGGCGTTCCGGCCATCATCAGTGCCACGAATCTAAATTGGCTCAAGTTGGCCTTGAGCACAGATTAAGGCTAGTTCATAAAAGTAGGCCTAGGACCTAGAAAAATCACTGGAAACCATCACAATCTCAATTTTTGCCCATGCGCATTTGCACGAAGACGGGAGAAGATGCTGACTGCAAGATGCTTGCATATTGACAAGTTGGCCAGTCGTGTCAATTAATTTTGACACCATGATCTCATTATATTTTATTTTGTCAAACGACTCCAGTCATTGTATTCCTTATAATTTACTCTTTCTGTTGTAATTATTTTGATGATAAAGTAGGATGGTATAGACAATCATGGTAGTGAGAAATACTTCATATCGAAGCTCGGGGGCATCGTCATTTGAAAATGTGAAATTGTAATTAGAAAAAAAACAACAACAACCCCCCCCCCCGACTAACAACATTAAATTCACAGACTCCTGTTTCAATTCAGATGATGATGAATTTGTATATTGAAAGTGATAAGAATAATGTGACACATTATACATGATATTAACTTTGTCATTCTTTACTTATACGTTATATATATATATATAGGTATCTGAAAACTTTCGTTTGACCGTGTTTTTTAACAACAGAAAAGCATATAAATCACCCCACTTATTCTTAGTCTCCCAAAACTCAATATGGCAGGTTTGTATCTTTATGAAACTTGCAGACAATTGCTCCAAAAACGAGATAGAGTTGAAAAAAAGCCAAACAACTAGATTTAGATTTAGTTCATGCACTTCGGGCGTTCCCGCCTTTATCGCATAAAATTTGGTATGAGATGTAAAGAATCCTGGCTCAGTGCAAATAACAATTACAATTGCCTCCCTTGTAACATCAACCTCTTCCTCCAGCCAGATCAACAGAACAGAAGAGAAGCGAGGGTGGTGTAATAAAAACAAACGGAGAGGAGAGTGTTCCAAAAGTGCACCGTGTTTGAGCATCGTGTTTCTTTGTAAGTCAACTCTTAATGGTTTAATTCAAAGTTATTTTATGTTGTGAGAGTAATTGAGCAATCTAGATCTAGCATAGATCTAGAATCTATATTTCTAGATATTAGATTTAATCAGTAAATTTTGCCTCAGTTTTTATAGCCTCCTAGATTCTAGTTAGATTTCTATCTCTTTTCATTTTCAAACTCTGAAAGAATCTAGATTTCTAGAGCAGCATGGCATGGTGGTGTTTTAATTTTCATGTTTTTTTCCCCTCACAGTGTGACTGGTGTTGCCATGGTGGCATGGCTGGCACTACTTGGATGGTGGTCCCGACTTTTATGACAGGGAAAATCTAGAATCTAGTTTTGACCCCAATGACAATGCCAATGACGATTACTTCTGGTTCTAGAAGTCTAAACGATTACTTTTTGATTTGCGTGCCGATATGGAGAGATAGCCTTTCAAACCTTATTGCAAAACATCAAATCGTGGTCAAATTCAGGGGGGCATTGAAATCTGAAACACCCCATGTTTTGTTTTTTTAAGTCAGGGGGGCAAACCCCCGGGCCTTGTTTGTGAAAAACAATTGAAATTTTACTGCTCATTTTGTAGACTAGATTTAGATTCTAGATCCTAGATCTAGATCTAGGCTACTGATAAAACATACAACATTGATACCGACTATTTAAATCAGTATCGATATTACAGTAGATCTAGGCCTACACAAGTCGGGACCACCTCCAAGTAGTGCTGCATGGCTTTTAGATCTAGATCTAGATTAGGTTTCTTTCGATTTTGTTAATTTGATTGGCCACCTCTCGGGTGAGAATAGTGCACAGGCGAGTCTTTTGGCTATTCTCACCCGGTGCGCGTTCACCGCAAGGAGTTTTTAATCTCCTTGGTTCACCGTTATAGCCTAGATCTAGGCCAACCAATTTTGCGTTCACCCTAAACCACAGAATTCTACACTGTGATAACAGAAAAATTGTAGAATTCTGTGCCGTGAACAAACGTTCCATTACTAAAAGTGTACAATTTTGTCTGTGGGCAGTGGAGAGAGAAAGAGAGAGAGAGAGGAGTAACGTGAGAACTTCCGGGCAAAACAAAATGGCGACCCGCGTAGTTCGGCTCGATTCGAAAAGTTAAATAGTCGTAGCATCTTTATAGACGACCAAATTAATTTACTTTTGTGTTTTAACATCATTTTTTAACTTTGTTTTGGTCAATTTTATCGTCCACACCGATAGACAGTATTCAGAAAGAGAGAGAAGAGGGGAGGAGTAGAATTTGCGAGAACTTCCGGGCAAAACAAAATGGCGACCCCCGTAGTCCGGCTGGATTTGAAAAGTGAAATAGCCGTAGCATCTTTGTAGTCGATAAAATTTGCTTACTTTTGTGCTATAACGTAATCTTTTCTTTGCCTTTATCCATTTGATCATCCACATAGATAGAAAGTATTCCGAAATTAGGAAAAACAGGTCTTGTTTCACACCGGGTGAGAATAGCCTACGGTGGCAAGTCTCACCTGGGGTGAGAGGTCGATCGTATTTCTATTCTCATCCCGGGTGAGAATAGCCACTTCCAATTTGATTCCTATGACATGCGACTAAACTTAAACGTAAGAACGTTGCAAACTATTTTAAGAAGGACTTCCGTTACGAGCGACCACCCCATCAAACACAATAAGGAAGACGAAGTGTTTACAGACCCGGTAACCGGGAATAAAATCACAAAGTATACAGACCCGGTAGGGGAACTCTTTTGTGATGTCGGAAAGTTTCAGTGCCCAGACCTGGTAGTGTGTGTGTGTGTGTGTGAGAGAGCTCAGAGAGAGAGCAGGGGGAAGTGCTAGCAAAATGTACAGTGGAACCCATTGCGGGTTTTCCCGATACCGCTTTACTGAGTTTTAGAAGGGGTGATCGCGTCGATTCATACACTCCTATTCATTACTTAGACCTGCATGTTTGCCGACAATCGTCTGAAATCCGACAATCGCGATCCGACCCGCGAACCGTCCGATGCTATCGCTAGGCCCGCCTGTATCAGTCAATGTGCGTAGTGCGAGGCCTGGCCGACTGCCAGCGACCCCTTTTTCTCCCATCGGCTTCGCCAGCTCTTTCGTTTTAGTGCCGACTGCCGACGTCGGCGTTTCCGACATAATTGTCAGAACCTAAGTAGAAATGCGAATGCGAAAAAGGACGACAACCTAAATTATCTACTTTCAGTTTCGTGCTCGAGCGGCCATTTTGAATTTCGTTTGTTGACTAATTCAATTGTTCAGATCGTGTGGATTCATTCAAGTCCGACTCTCTTGTTCTAATAGAATCTAGATCAAGATCTAGATTTATATATATATAGATCATTATAGACCTCAATGGAGGATTCAAATTCCAATTCTATTGTGTCAAACCCTATCATAGGTTGTGCTGTAATATTAATTGGTAAAAATAAGCATTTCATCAGGTGCGTGAATTATTTATTTATCTAGATCTAGATCTAGACTCAGCTGAGTCCCTCTGTTCGGAATCGGATGCGGATTTCTAGTTCAAGGCCTATTCCTCTTCACTTGTTCTACAAGATGTAGATCTAGATTTATTTAGATTACTAGATCTATATTGAGTATTCATATTCCAATTCTGTTGTGTTATTGTATCAAACCCAAAAGCAATGTAGATGTAAACCATATAGATCTAGATCTAGATCTATATGCTCCTTGTTTGTTTTGGAGTGTGTTTTTTAAATTTTAATTTTTTTTTTTCATTTAGGACTTGTTTTGGCCTTTTTACATGAGGCCCGTTGCAGGTTCTTTTTGGGGTTAGGGTTAGGTCTCTTCTTTATTGTGTTTGTTGGGGTGGTCGCTCGTTACTCGGATAGTCCTTCCTTATGACACCCACAAAGGCTTTGGGGGGGGGGGGGGGGTGCGCAAAATTTTCTGGTTGAGGCTCACATGCAGGTCTAATTACTGACTTGACAACAGTTTTTAAAAAATTTGTCAATGGAGTTTTTAACTTTAAAAACCATAGTTCTTAGAATTTACTCTATTTTCATTTAAGCCCATTTTAAAGCAGTTTGGATAAAAATTTAATTTTTCATATTGCTATATATTATAAAGATCTAAATATCTAGTACTAGTGTAGATTTTCTAGCTCTAGCTACTGCCACTGGAGTGTAAATGATTATTAATTGATTAGTCGTGGCAAAATGCATTGATCGGAAACAGAAACAGTTAAACCATTTCCAAGAAACTTGTCCTGTGAAGGCTTACTTTTTGAATGGCTCATAATACTATGCTTTCTACAGATCTAGATCAATAGGCTATATATAGAGATGATGGTTGTCTCTCTCTGGCTCTGATTTAGTCTGGTGCTGCACAGACAGTTGTGAACTGAAGACTGAAGAGAATTTAAAATCTAGATCTTTCCTACCTAATAGCGTACAGCCCATGCCATAGGATTTGCTAAAATGCTTGCCAGCTGATCTTACAACTTACTCTGGTAAGATTTGATTGATCATGGGCCAGTATAAGTCTGCTGACCCAGTGATAAAAAGTGTAAATGATGTTCTTTGTTAGGCTAAATCTAACGCTGTGTTGTTCATGGGTCTCAATAGTCCGCTATTTAGCGGATTTCCGCTACCGCCATTTCCTCCGCTAAACTCCGCTACCGCGATAGCGGGCCAATCAGAAAGAGAGTTGTTGGGAGCAGGGTGACTGCCTGGCCCCAGGAATAAAAAAAAAATCGCCGAGACCCGTGAAAATACATAAAAGATCTCGAATATTTGAAAAACCAAATCCAATAACGTCTTTAAGTTCATTTCTGCCGGTCGTGATTGTGATATTAATTCGGCTCTGAGAGTACGTTTCACGTGAACTGGCGGCTTTGGCGGCAAGCGGAATTGTGTCACTAAGGCTCGGCTGGAAAATCAAGATCTGCTTTCGCTTTCGTTACCACCCAGAAGTTTGTCAGTAATTGATAACGCAACATTTATTGTAACATGCAGCTTCGGCATTGCAAACGTGGTGTCGCCATGAAAATAAATCAATATTTGTCACTGTGTTGTCACTTGTGGGGGTAAGACCAAAAAGAAAGTTATGCCAGCGTCTTTGTCGGGCTTGCCATTGTGACCGGTCATTGAAACTGCGCGCGCTCTTAACGCTTTGAAGTACAGGACTCAGAAATGGGGGGAGATTATTGATTTTTTTGAAAGACTCACTCGGGGATAGGAGGAGGGCTGGACGCAACACCAGAGGACAAACAAACAAACTGAAAGCAAATGTTTAATGCTTAAAATTTTTATTACTACCTGATCTACAGCTCTCTGTAAAGTAAAGTGTGCGTTGGTGCAGGCCTTGTGTGAAATCGGGAACCGTCATAACTTGTAAGCGTGTAATGGAACTTAGGGGCCTAAGTGTTCGCGTTTCATTGGATTGGTAACAGTAAATTAGATCTCTATATTTTAGCTTTCTGTTCAAGATTCGCAGATTTTCAGTATCACTGCTTCTTGCTCTCCCACAGTTCTTACACCTCTCACACTGAATATGTCTACTTGGGCTATTCTACTCTACTTTGAGTTTGAGCATTAATTTTTGTCTTTCATGTTTATTATATTGGCCTATATATATATACAGTCGAACCTGCCTTAACGGAAACCTGTATAAAACGGACACCTGTCTTAACGGAATCTCCCCGCTCCCCCCTTGATATATTCCTCTTTAATTACCTGTATGAAACGGAAACCTGTCCAACGCGGAAACGGAAAGAAAAATCCGCTCCCTTTCAAGGGTTTCACCTGTCTAAGACGGAAAATGCTTTGCCCACTCAGCCCTGATTTGAAACAAAACTCGCAAGTTTGGTTCCGCTGCCTCTAAACTAACGCTATGGTCATGCCGCAGGGCGAAGTAGGGGAGTAGGGGTGCAATTTGGGGTAGATGTTACCCCACCATGTGAGCCCTGAGCAATGCAGATGGTCAATGGATTGTGGGTGTGAAATCTCACGACTGCCTGTGAGAGTGCTTGAGTAGCGAGCCACTACGGAAACTCTCCTAGATCCAGAAGCCAGAGGTGTGAAATTAGATCGACCAATGCCTGCCGCCCTGATCGTACGGCCAGCCGAGAAAAGAGTTCCTTGAATCGTTGTTAAAGGATGGCAGTAAGGGGTGGCATTGGTGGGTAGGGCTAAGGATGGAAGCAAGGGAGATGTTCAAACGTTTCTGTTTTTAATAGGTCAAACAGTGGTCCTATGAAAGGCAAGCACTGGTGGTAATTGGATAAGTAAGACTGACGCATGTCATTATCAGACAGGATAGCAATTGAGAGGTGTGAAGTTTTGACCACTGCTTGTCGATCGGACTAGCGATCCTTGATCCCACCGGCTGAGCCTTTGAACCCCCCCCCCCCCCTCAACCTCCATCTCCCCCTAAATTCCCCTGTCTAAGACGGAATTTTTTTCTGGCTCCCTTGCGATTCCGTCTTACACAGGTTCGACTGTATATATATATGATATGAATCATGACAGTCGATATTCTGGTTCTAGGCTCAAAACAATATTCTTTTTTATATAGTTTATATATACAGGCGAATATGATGAAGGGAAAATATAAATAAGTCGCACAAGACACCAGGCGACACCACTTTTTGTACGTAATCAAGATTGTAAATATTTGGTATGTGACTCTTACTTGAAATTATCTCTCAGACCCTCAAATTGGTGTGAAATAACCTTGCTTTGATAAGTTGATGGTTTTTATATCTGCATTCTTGGATTCAACAGTATAATAATAATGGGTGTTTCCCGAAAATGGGCTTCTGTGGCGATCACCCGAAAAGTCCTCCTTTTTTAGAATTCTGAGTTGAGACCCATGGTTGTTACTGTGCTTATTTATGGTTTTGTGTGTGGGAGATTACATTCAGCATGTTCTAATCTGATATTGATTTTAATTTTATTGTGTATGTTAAGTATGTTGTGATTCATTTGGATGACAAGTAGTGTGCTTGCTAAATATTAAATATAACGGAGTGTCTACGTACACGGTAACTGGGCACCTAGTCTCAATATCTACGTACACGGTATCCGGGCACCTGGTCTCAGTATCTACGTACACGGTAAACCGGGATGAAAATAAATCAATATTTTGTCCTGTGCTGTCACTTACTGAAAAAAAAAGAAAGTCATACAAAAGCGTCTTGTTGGGCTCGCCATCGGGACCGGTCAGTGAACCTGTTCGTATGCATCACCTTGTGAGTAGCGGTTGGGGGTCACCAAAGTTCATTCAGAGCCTGTGCGCTGCGAAGTATAGGGCTCCGGAATGGGGGGATTATTGATTTTTTTAAGGTATAGTCGGGGGAGGGGTGGGGATGAAGGCAACACCGAGTGACAAAAACTGAACTTAGGAGTTCTGGACTGCCAGGTTGCCGGTTACTGTGTTCGTAGATATGCCAGGTTATGCGAAAACCATTCGTTGTATATCAAAGTGGTGGTGCCTTGGTGTGACTACTTGTATTTATTTAGCCTAACGATTTAAATTTTGAATAGGGCAAGGGCTCTGCCACACTGAATAGCACAAGAATCTATATAATTTTGTATTACAGTAGTCTCCGCATAAGATCCCACCGCTTACGATTCCAGTTCGCTTAAGATCCCGCTTTTTAAAGAAAACAAAATGTGTACTTTACAAAAGTTATCCTTAAGATCCCGCTCAAAGTCACTCAGAATGTCTACATTCGGCTAAGATCCCGCATTTCAGATCATAATTTGCGGAACAAAAATGCGGGCGGGCACAGCCGATCAACCAAGAGTGAAAAGTTGAGATCAATAAACTGTCTGTCGCGTCAAAGATCAGCTACTATCGTGAATGTGATCACATACACGTGTAAAACTCGATGAAGCGATACAATGTTTGCCCCGGAAGGGATCACACCAGGGTGTGAAATGACCAACACGTTTGTTTTCACCGAACATCGCACTCACACCTGAGCTCTCTGCCTAAACTTACATCACTCGCTGGGTGGGTAGGGCCTACATGTTCGCTCCAGGCGTGATCACATTGAACTGTGAACTCTTTGCTGACCATTGCAGAAGTTGTCTCTACTCCCGAATTTGCGAGACAGACTGAATTTTAATTTATGTGTCCACAATGTAATGGTGTGTAACGACAAAGGTAGTTTGGGGGGGGGGGGGGGTGACTCTGTTAGAGATGGAAGGATATAAATTTTCTACAGGGAAGGGGGAGGGGCAACTGGATAAGTGTAGATCTTGAGACTCATGATACGACAGTAAGTGAAAATGGCACGCCTCATCCCACTCTGCACTGTGATAGGTCATCAAGGTTAACCACTCTTTGCTCGCCATATGTAATAAACCCACCAAGAGGGTCATGTCAGTTCATTTTAGAGTGTAGAGAGACCATTTTACCGATTGTGAGCCTTAGCATGGGTCACCATAGATTCTTCCCTGGGTTCGTCGGTTAAGATCCCGGTTCGCCTAAGACCCCGTATTTCCTTGCTCCCTGGCACCGGGATCTTAAGCGGAGACTATTGTAATTGGTTATGACAAAAAGGTGGGTAGAAAATTTCAAGCTATGGATTCCCCAAAGACTGACATGTTTGCATGATAAGAGATATGTTCACAACCTGTACCTTTTCTTTATAATGAAAACTATTTAAAAATTAGTTTTTTTTATATGATGTGATGTGGGCCAATGGCCTTAAACACTGAATAAACTTACTTACTAGGTCAAGATGAGTGGTCAACAACCTGGCCAAGGTCGAGCTCGTGGGAGAGGGGGACGTGGACGTCGACCCCAGCAACCTGCACCTCCAGGTCAAGCACCTGAACCAGCAGCACCTGCGCCTCAGCAACCACCTGTGAGTTTAGTAGACTAAGACAGCTGTGATTTTGTTTTTAATGTCACTCGAAAAGTGTTGATTACAGGCTTGCCAACTGTCCTGAACTGTCTCGGGTTCGGCTGTCAGGAATCTGAGAACAGGAGTGGCTGGCGATACAGTAGCCAGACCTGCCACACATCCCCATTTAATCAGGAAATGTCCAGATCCCCCCCCCCCCCCCAATCTCAAACATCCCGATTTTCCCGATTTCGATCGTGTGTATCCCGATTTTTTTAGTTCTGTCAGTTGCCCTGGATTTTTCTAAAAACTTGTTCTGCCTTCTTCTCTGTCGTGGGAAGCACCCGTTAAACTATTTGTCAATTGGAACTCAAAGTACTATTTTCCAAAATTTCAATGTCGGATGTAGTAGACTTGCCTCAAGGTGTGTTGAAACCTTGCTCACACATGTTATTTTAACTATACTGGAAGTAGTATTGATTTGGCATTCTGGCTTGGGACATTCTCAAGATCTACTTTAGTTTTTATTTTCACTCAGAATTCTCTGATGATGACCTGATAACTGTTTAAATTGCGACATACAAATGATTATTCCTAGTTCTGCTGTTATTTTCAAAACAAGTTTTGTCAGAGTTCTGATTAGTCGAGCCTGTTATCAAGACCCGCCAATAAAACAGTTTCAATCAAGCGTTTGCATCACCTGACCAGTGACTTAGGTATATGAGTTCCACATGTCTTTGGGGGTGGGGGGGGGGGGTCCGTTGATGGAGTAAACTTAAGTTTATGCACACTGATTGAAGTGTCTTTTAGTACTCATTGAAGGGGGGGGGGGATGTTAGACACTTGGACTGGGAGTGCTTGACGTGATCCTTTATGGTTACAAAAAATGATAACATTAACAGACACACTCACACTTCCAGTGTGTATACATGGATATGAACCTTTCCTAAAAGTTCGTCGTTGTGAGGTACTGTTCTCTTTGTAGAGGTATTCAGGGAGAAAGAGAATAGCAATCTAATCATTATTGGTGTCAATACATCCAGTGAATGTCACTGATAAACTGGGAAAAAATTTAGATAGATGGGGAAAGTAGGGTTTTTTTTTTTTGGAATAAAGAAAATTTTCCTATTTTTAGCTGTATTTTATGCAAATAAAGGGGGACACTTTTTATATAGTGTTTTGTCTCTGATTGTAAGAAAAATGAAGAACAAGTAGGTAAAAAAGTGTTGATTTGTGATGGAAAAGGGAAAGTCTATGGTTAATTTAAGACTGGTCCCATCCATTTATATGAATTGTAAGCTGAGTACGATGCGTTTGAAATTTGACTCCCCAGTAATAACTCTTCTCGTGAAAATAAACTCTTACATGTTTATCCATCCTATTCGCGCATGAAAGGACTGGAATAAGAATTTTCATTGCTTTAGCAAAGTTCTAGTATTGTCAAAGGCATTCCAGCAGGTAGAAGTCATATTTTCTTGCAAAAAAGCATGGGAAATGATACCTTTAAATGGCCAGCATTGTTTGTTGTGAGAAAGTTATTTCTATTCTATAAGACGCACCGGTTTTCGGAAGTAGGGTGCCAATTTGCGTTCACTTTTGTGTTGTACCTGAAGTTCATACACCACCCTATGAATCAATGCCGTATCACGGACACGTGACTGCAGAACTTCCTGTTGTGATGAAGAAGTCTGGTGGAAGTGGAAGATATAAACAGTACCAGACTTACTGCAGGGAGGGAAAATGCATAGATAATCAATTCAGGGAGAGAGATGTGACTTTTCCCATTGATATTCCTAGGGGTCACTTTTTAGTGTGGTGTTTATTATAAAGTACGTGAGTTTTTATTTATTTTTTTTTCTTCAGAAATAGACCTTAATTTTTTTTCAGCCATATTCCCCATTTTAGTGGTGTTTAGTTTTCCTTAATATTGGTGTTATAAGTTGGCTCACAAGAATTTAGAGGTGTAAAAATGTTATATTATTCTGTCTTAGGTATAACTTTCACGACCTAAATGTGTACCCAGTGAAACCTCCATTATTGTAATGAAAGATAAGACATTTATGTATGAGAGTTATGTCCACAAGATTGACAAACATTGATGAAATGTGTGTGAAATTTTGTTTATGGAAGTTTCAGTTTCCTGGACAGTATTATAAAAAAACAAAAACATCATAAAATCTTGTGAAACTCCATTATTTTGAGGCTGTTGTCTCATTTTGAATTTGGATACCTTATGTCCCCCTTTCTGTCCCGAGGTTTTAGGAAAGGCTCATATATTTATGAAATCCCCTGTAAAATTTTAGTCAGCTTGGTAGTCACCTTGGCAATTTGTTGTTGATCTCAATTTTTTTTCGCCTAGTCCTGATTTTTTTTTTACCAGAGGTCCGGATTTTTAGATTTTATAAAGTGGCATGCCTGCATAGCATGCAACTTGAATTCCATCCATGAGGCAGCATTACCGATTTAAATGCTTGTCAGAGTCACAGGGTTTTTTAAACGTCTTATTTTTCCAGTTTGATCCGCATGACTTTTGAAAAGTGGGGTACTTCATTTAGCACCTTGAATTGGACATACAAGCACTAGTTAATATTGTTGAATACTCTGTAAATATTAACCACGACAGACCCCTTTCTGGTAATTGAGAGCTCGCCAAGGAGGGCAGGTATGATAGGGCGGAGTTAGGGGCATGGAGTGGGGGGCAAGTCTGACAGGGTTTAACAGAACATGCTGGTTTTTTAGAGCTTGCTTAAGAATTCATGTTGCAACTAAGTTGTCCCTAATTTTGATTTGAGTAGTATATTTAAATTTGTACTTTGCTAAATACTAAATGGTTTGGGGGTAACAATAGTAACAATATTCTATATTCAACCAACTCTTTTATGTGAGTAAAAATGCTGTATTTCAAATGTTTCTCCTTTCTGTGAAGGATGATTAGGTGCACCCTTAGCCCCTTGAGCACTTGACACCGGTACACCAGTGGCGTGTAGTTACAACATTGCCCTTATGCCCAGCCACTTGTGTATCAGCGAGATAGACCATATTCCCAAACTGGCCCGCCTGGGACAAAACGTGTACAGAAAAGTGTTTAATACACAGGACGTTACTGATTATTTTGAAGATCTTTCTGAATAAGGATGCAATGTTGGTAATGACGAGGACTACCCTGAGAGGGATATGGAATGTGATTCTAACGATCATAAAAATCTAGGAGCTCAGGCTGAAGGAGGTTAGGGCTCAAAGGGTACAATCTGTTCAAGCAGCTTGATCAATTTATTTTCTTGTCACATGCTTTGGGTTTTGTTTTTGCTTGTTTTTAAAAAAATTAGAAAACATGCTTTTCATAAGTTGCAGTTTGATTTTAAAACTTTCTATGCAAACACCCTGACCTTTTGGCGAAGGCTCTTAGATAGCATTCATGCTTTCCGCGTCAGTTTGGCAAATTACAATAGTTGCCGACTGTTGCCATTTTGTCCCTGTCATTTCTTAAAGTCTCAGTCTTTTCCCATGGGTGCTTGGAGGGCACTCACTGAGCGACTGCTAGGTCTTCCTCTTTTGTGTTGTTTCTATCTGTCTGTCTTGCCTTTTATATGCACTGAATAATCGTTATCTTGTCAATGTGCTTCTCTTTACTCACAAACTTGATTTGTTCTCAGGGAGGAGCTGGTGCTGCTCCGGCAGCTCCGGTGGGTCGAGGCAGAAGCAGGGGTGCCCGGCAGGCAGACCCTGGCCAAGCTCAGCAGCCTGTGGTAATGCCCCAGCAAGCCCCTGTAGCTGGCTTAGGTCCTGAGGCTGTGACCGGAGGCAGGGGCGTCCAGCGTGGTGGAGGCCGGGAGAGACCCACTGCTGGCGGAAATGGAGATGGAGGAGCCCCTGTCTCACAGATGGGCCAGCTGAGCCTGAGTGGAAAGCCCGAGTATAGACGTAGAGCCCCTTATGAAAAGTATGTGGAAAAGCGCTACAAGGAGGACACCAAAGCTTGTGTCGGTGAGTTTTGAATTTTTAGGTTTGCAGATATGTGTGTTCCAGCAATTGCTGGAATTCTTTCAATTTTGACTCTGACCAACCAACCTTTTTCTCCAACTCAAATGTTACTTTCAGTTTCAGCAAATCTAGGGCTGGGAATACGACCAAACAAAAAAGACGATGCATTTCCCAAGTACGGCTTGTAACAGTGGTATGCATCACACGGTCGATTACCAGATATTTGATATGCTCGAAATTCATACAACCCTGATGTATGTAGATTTAATATCATTAGGTACATGAGATCTTTTTGAACCATTATTTTACTCTGTACGGCTGAAAATGCCCTCAAATGGCAATTTAGATACTTTGGGGGGGGAGGGGGTGTTCACCGCGGTGTGAGCACCCCCCCCCCCAGTTGCATTTCTGACAATTTTTCAGGCCACTCACTTACAGGTCTGGGATTAATGATCTGCTGACAGATTAAAAGAAAAATTTATTCAAAATGTTCTGATGTGCACACACAAGTACCTTCTCTGCTTTAAGTGTACAGACTTGTTAGTTATCTGTGTACATGCTCCCTGACCCGTTAGACGAGATGTTATAAAAGATTTTTTTTATCGTGATAAAACTTGTATATATATATTCCAACCTTTCTTTTAAAATGGACATATCAATGTAGGTGTCATGCGATAATAATGTTATGTTCTCTTCAATAGGCACAATTGGAAATAAAGCGAATCTGATGGCCAACTACTTTGAAGTGAGGTTCTGGGCTGAAAAGAAGATTTTCCAGTATCATGTGGACTTCAAGCCCCCTGTAGAGAACCACAGAGTGAAGCATGCTCTGATTGCCTCACTGCAAAATGAAACGGGGACAGTGCAGTTGTTTGATGGCGGAATTCTCTACCTTTGTCGATTGTTAGCCAAAGATGTGAGTAGATTTTATTTTCTGTTAATATAGAAGGGGGTAATTTTGGTTTATTACAGTGACTGTTCTTTTACCATACTTAATTATTACTGTTATCTTCAAAAGATTTTTATTTCTTAATAAACAATGGGGGTTCACATTGCTTTGAATTAAGAGAAAATAATTTATTTTTTTCTTACCGACCTGAGATCACATCGCATCACATCGTGAGTAACGTATCCTCGATTGTTAAAGTCACCAAATTTCATTCAAAGTCTGAGCGCTGCGAAGTATAGGACTCGGGAATGGGGAGGGGGGGGGGGGAGATTATTTATATATATCTTTTTTAAGACGCACGCTGGAGGGTTGAAGGCTACACCAGAGGACAAAACTGAACTGGGAAGCAGATTTTAGTATTCAGAATTTTGATTACTACATGTACTAGATCTATAGCTCTCTGGTGCAGGCCTTGTGTGGAATCGGGATCTGTCATACTCCAGACCTGCCACTCATCCCGATTTAATCGGGATATCCCGATTTTTTGCCCCAAATCTCAAGCATCCCGATTTTCCCGATTTCGATCGCCAGTATCCTGATTTTTTGTCGTTGCGTCTGTTGCCACCGATTCTTAGGGGAAAAAATATAAAAAGTTCTGCAATATCTTTTGTTTGGAAGCACTGGTTGGATTTTTTATCGGCAGAAACTTGGAAAGCTACTTTCTAATGCATCTATGCCGAATCTAGTAGTTGACTCACGCACGTTATTTCAACTAAAACCGACTGTTGTTCTACGGTTGCTTTAAAAGCAAGTTTCGTCTGAGTTGGTTAGCCGGGCCCATCATCAAGACCTGTCAGTGGAGCTTTTAAACGCTCTTTCGCATCACGTGACATGACCTTGTACGTGTGAGTAGTGCATGTGTCGGGGACCATCGAAGGGGGGGCGGGGGGGGGGGGGGTGCCTTGAGTGTATATGCGATAGAAGTCAAACGTTATTATATGAAAAAACGGACTTTTTGCATGGATGATTCGAGTTATGTGTCAGCTATTTTCAAGACTGCGAGAGTTTCAGCTTTACTGCAACCTGCGCTCCCCCAGTCTATCCAACTCCGACTCGAGTACATATGCTGTCTTTCAGTTTTCCCTCTATTTAGTGAACTTATTCCTGCATCTTGCCCTGCCACGGTTCTCACTCCTCTCACACTGAATAGGTGTACTTGAGCCATCCAAGTTATTGCTCTACTTTGAGTTTGAGCAATAATTTTTGTCATCCAAGTTTATTATATCAACTTTGACACCCAAACTGGTTCTTGACAGTTGATATTCTGGTTCTAGGCCTTTTCTCAAGCTCAAAACAAGCTTCATTTTTATATAGTTTAAATAGGCGAATATGATGAGGAAAGAATATAAATAAGTAAGAACAGACTGAAATACCCCTGAGCCACACTGACATGTTGTTATTGACTGGATATAATGTACCTACGTGTGTGTGTGTGTGTGTTTTATATGCACTGTCATTGTTATATAACATGCCCCTGGAAAATTGAGAAGCCTGGTTGGCAGTCGCCCTGGGAACAGAGTTTTTGGAGGAAAATCGAAACTATGATTCCTTTCGGACAAGTGTAGGCCTGTTGGAAATAGGCTTTCATCATGAATTTTTTAACCAAATCTCCTTGAATTATAAAAATTTCTTCTTGAAACCTCCTTGAATTTGGTGGGAAGTTCGTGGCAGGGACCCTGAAAAAAGCCAGTTGGGCTTCACCACAGGCAGTGGTTGTGCCTGTGATGGTTTGAATTAAAGTCGACGTGTGACAAATGTGGTCTGCTCAATCATCACGCATATATTTGTATCTAGTAAAGAAAATTTTGTTTCCAGCATAACACTTTTAGGTCAGAGAGTCACGTGTAGTTTTGCTTCCTGATAAAGAATCTGACTGTTCTGCTTTTTGTCTTCACAGCCCATGGTCCTGTATGCTACCAGAACCTTTGACAATGCCAAGATTGAGGTGACCTTCACCAGTAAAGGGGAAGTCATACCGGCCTCTCCACAATTTTTGCAAATTGCTAACATTTTGATGAAAAAGTGAGTATTCCAGTGCAATTTGGAATACATTGTTGCCATGTGATATACTCTTGCCGTTCTTGACTATGGTGTATCTACTTTCTCTTTCTGCTGTCTTGATTTCTTGAAGTTCCATGTGTTCTATGATTATGGTCTTCAGTTCTGGGGTAGAAAACTTGAGAAGTGTAGGAAGGATAATGAATCAGCCAATACTCTCCCTGACCTAATGCTCAATTAAATGTGAGACACCTGGGGATCATTCTGGGTTTCCATTGGTTGCATATCACAGAATTTTTGTAATGACTGTCTAATATTGATGTGTTTAGGGTCTTTGATAGTAAGGACACTATTGTTTTTCCTGAGGAGTAGATATTACTAAATATTAGTTTGTATAAAGGATGTAATCAACAGTTCGCTTTATGTGTTTGGTTAAAAGAATTTGGTTACCCTCGAGTAGAAGGGCATATTTATATCCTGCGAGAAGTACGATGAGGTATAAGAGTATAGCTCACCTTTGTATTGTGACCAGTTGGCAGTTGCTTTTGTCGTTAAGAAAATCATGGCACCTCTATTGCATATTTTGAAGCATTGTTGTCCTTACACATTATTCTTTTATGAACCATTGGACTTTTCTTTTCTTGTAGTCCTTTATATGTTTTACTTTATTGTTTTTCAAGAGCATGATAAAGGGAAAGTTTAGTTTTAAAGGAAATTAACTCCAGAACAGTATATTGTTAGGAGTTTACATCTTGGTGTAATGAAGCTTTAAAATTTGTTTTATTTAGAAAAGTACTTCAGTTAGATTCTCTTTTCTTCTTTTGACCCTGTAGATATTTGTTTTGTTCTATATTAGAACTGAAAGAAAATGGTCATACATTGGCTTCGTTTTGTCTTTTATTTTCCGTCTTCTAGAATTCAGATTTCATTGGGAATGAAGCAGATCCGGGATCACTACTACAACATGAATCAAGCTATACAGATTCCAAGGCACAAGTAAGTGTGTTTTCACAGTTGAGTTTATAAAGGTTTGATTTGTTTTGCTTGCAGAATGGTAAAAGGCAGTGATTTCTTTTTTCCATTATGGATATACTGACTGTAAACAGCATTTACTGGGTCATTTATTACAGGAATTCATATTTTTAACTCTATACAAGTCTGTATGTGCTAGACTGTCTTATGATTTTTGTTATTGTATATAGTGGATCATTTTCATATTATTTTTAATACAAAATGGTTTTTTGTTTTTGTTTGAGGAAGGTGGTAAAAGTGTGACTTTCCTTTGAAGTGCAAGTCTGTATGGATGGTGGAAGGAAAATGAAATTAAATTACAAATCACTAGCCACGTGATTCAACCGCCTAAGTGCCAAGAGACAAATTTTTCAGGAGAAGCAAAAAACTTATTTCTTTATGCTTGTTCCTATGAATCTGAAATTCAGATATATTATATAATATGACCTAGGACGATGGTCTGTAACTAACTTTTAAAAAGAAAATAAGTTACTGGACATAGGCGGTGTACACCTACCAAAATCTACGTGATTCAACCGCCTAAGTGACAGTATGACAGCATCTAGGCGTTTGAATCGCGATAATCTACGTCACTTGACGAGCGCCAATGGTCGCCTGGGCGTTACAGTTATCGACAATAGCAAATCACATAAAGTAAAGAGTAATTATTTTAGTTATTTGGTTGGGTCTTCTGGGGCCGGACAGTTTTTGGCCTCGTGGAGTTGGTAATTAAGACCATTCATCTTAATGTTCAATTTGTACTGGAGGTTTTTGTTCAGTGTGTATCAAAGACAACAAACGTTTGTGACAACAGGGTCGTTTTTGTTTCAGTCAGGTCTGAATGGTGAAGAAATCGAACATCGAAAAAAAAAGGGGGGGGGGGGGGGGGGGGGGGGGGTGCCTTGAGTGTATATGCGATAGAAGTCAAACGTTATTATATGAAAAAACGGACTTTTTGCATGGATGATTCGAGTTATGTGTCAGCTATTTTCAAGACTGCGAGAGTTTCAGCTTTACTGCAACCTGCGCTCCCCCAGTCTATCCAACTCCGACTCGAGTACATATGCTGTCTTTCAGTTTTCCCTCTATTTAGTGAACTTATTCCTGCATCTTGCTCTGCCACGGTTCTCACTCCTCTCACACTGAATAGGTGTACTTGAGCCATCCAAGTTATTGCTCTACTTTGAGTTTGAGCAATAATTTTTGTCATCCAAGTTTATTATATCAACTTTGACACCCAAACTGGTTCTTGACAGTTGATATTCTGGTTCTAGGCCTTTTCTCAAGCTCAAAACAAGCTTCATTTTTATATAGTTTAAATAGGCGAATATGATGAGGAAAGAATATAAATAAGTAAGAACAGACTGAAATACCCCTGAGCCACACTGACATGTTGTTATTGACTGGATATAATGTACCTACGTGTGTGTGTGTGTGTGTTTTATATGCACTGTCATTGTTATATAACATGCCCCTGGAAAATTGAGAAGCCTGGTTGGCAGTCGCCCTGGGAACAGAGTTTTTGGAGGAAAATCGAAACTATGATTCCTTTCGGACAAGTGTAGGCCTGTTGGAAATAGGCTTTCATCATGAATTTTTTAACCAAATCTCCTTGAATTATAAAAATTTCTTCTTGAAACCTCCTTGAATTTGGTGGGAAGTTCGTGGCAGGGACCCTGAAAAAAGCCAGTTGGGCTTCACCACAGGCAGTGGTTGTGCCTGTGATGGTTTGAATTAAAGTCGACGTGTGACAAATGTGGTCTGCTCAATCATCACGCATATATTTGTATCTAGTAAAGAAAATTTTGTTTCCAGCATAACACTTTTAGGTCAGAGAGTCACGTGTAGTTTTGCTTCCTGATAAAGAATCTGACTGTTCTGCTTTTTGTCTTCACAGCCCATGGTCCTGTATGCTACCAGAACCTTTGACAATGCCAAGATTGAGGTGACCTTCACCAGTAAAGGGGAAGTCATACCGGCCTCTCCACAATTTTTGCAAATTGCTAACATTTTGATGAAAAAGTGAGTATTCCAGTGCAATTTGGAATACATTGTTGCCATGTGATATACTCTTGCCGTTCTTGACTATGGTGTATCTACTTTCTCTTTCTGCTGTCTTGATTTCTTGAAGTTCCATGTGTTCTATGATTATGGTCTTCAGTTCTGGGGTAGAAAACTTGAGGAGTGTAGGAAGGATAATGAATCAGCCAATACTCTCCCTGACCTAATGCTCAATTAAATGTGAGACACCTGGGGATCATTCTGGGTTTCCATTGGTTGCATATCACATAATTTTTGTAATGACTGTCTAATATTGATGTGTTTAGGGTCTTTGATAGTAAGGACACTATTGTTTTTCCTGAGGAGTAGATATTACTAAATATTAGTTCGTATAAAGGATGTAATCAACAGTTCGCTTTATGTGTTTGGTTAAAAGAATTTGGTTACCCTCGAGTAGAAGGGCATATTTATATCCTGCGAGAAGTACGATGAGGTATAAGAGTATAGCTCACCTTTGTATTGTGACCAGTTGGCAGTTGCTTTTGTCGTTAAGAAAATCATGGCACCTCTATTGCATATTTTGAAGCATTGTTGTCCTTACACATTATTCTTTTATGAACCATTGGACTTTTCTTTTCTTGTAGTCCTTTATATGTTTTACTTTATTGTTTTTCAAGAGCATGATAAAGGGAAAGTTTAGTTTTAAAGGAAATTAACTCCAGAACAGTATATTGTTAGGAGTTTACATCTTGGTGTAATGAAGCTTTAAAATTTGTTTTATTTAGAAAAGTACTTCAGTTAGATTCTCTTTTCTTCTTTTGACCCTGTAGATATTTGTTTTGTTCTATATTAGAACTGAAAGAAAATGGTCATACATTGGCTTCGTTTTGTCTTTTATTTTCCGTCTTCTAGAATTCAGATTTCATTGGGAATGAAGCAGATCCGGGATCACTACTACAACATGAATCAAGCTATACAGATTCCAAGGCACAAGTAAGTGTGTTTTCACAGTTGAGTTTATAAAGGTTTGATTTGTTTTGCTTGCAGAATGGTAAAAGGCAGTGATTTCTTTTTTCCATTATGGATATACTGACTGTAAACAGCATTTACTGGGTCATTTATTACAGGAATTCATATTTTTAACTCTATACAAGTCTGTATGTGCTAGACTGTCTTATGATTTTTGTTATTGTATATAGTGGATCATTTTCATATTATTTTTAATACAAAATGGTTTTTTGTTTTTGTTTGAGGAAGGTGGTAAAAGTGTGACTTTCCTTTGAAGTGCAAGTCTGTATGGATGGTGGAAGGAAAATGAAATTAAATTACAAATCACTAGCCACGTGATTCAACCGCCTAAGTGCCAAGAGACAAATTTTTCAGGAGAAGCAAAAAACTTATTTCTTTATGCTTGTTCCTATGAATCTGAAATTCAGATATATTATATAATATGACCTAGGACGATGGTCTGTAACTAACTTTTAAAAAGAAAATAAGTTACTGGACATAGGCGGTGTACACCTACCAAAATCTACGTGATTCAACCGCCTAAGTGACAGTATGACAGCATCTAGGCGTTTGAATCGCGATAATCTACGTCACTTGACGAGCGCCAATGGTCGCCTGGGCGTTACAGTTATCGACAATAGCAAATCACATAAAGTAAAGAGTAATTATTTTAGTTATTTGGTTGGGTCTTCTGGGGCCGGACAGTTTTTGGCCTCGTGGAGTTGGTAATTAAGACCATTCATCTTAATGTTCAATTTGTACTGGAGGTTTTTGTTCAGTGTGTATCAAAGACAACAAACGTTTGTGACAACAGGGTCGTTTTTGTTTCAGTCAGGTCTGAATGGTGAAGAAATCGAACATCGAAAAAAAAAGGGGGGGGGGGCGGGGGGAGTATTGTCTTGCTCTCTTAAAACGTTCAATAGACCTGCATGTTTGCTGACAATCGCCTGAAATCCGACAATCGCGAGCCGGCCGATGCTATTGCTAGGCCCACCTGTATTAGTCAATGTGCGTAGTGCGGGGCCTGGCCGACTGCCAGCGCCCCCTTTTTCTCCCGTTGGCTTTGTCGGCACTTTCGCTGTCCTGCCGACGTCGGCGTTTCCGACATAATTGTCGGAATCCAAGTAGAAATGCGAATATGGAAAAGGACGACGACCTAAATTATCTACTTTCAGTTCGTGCTCGACCGGCCACTTTGAATTTCGTTTGTTGACTAATTCAATTGTTCAGATCATGTGGATTCATTCAAGTCCGACTCACTTGTTCTACTAGATCTAGATCTAGATCTAGATCTATAGATCATTATAGACCTCAATGGAGGGTTCATATTCCAATTCTATTGTGTCAAACCCTATCATAGGTTGTGCTGTAATATTAATGTTGGTAAAAAGCATTTCATCGGGTGTGTGAATTATTTATTTTTTTAGAATCTAGATTATGCTCCTGACCTTGTTTGTTTTGGAGTGTGTTTTTCTTTTGTTAAATATTTTTTCATTTTAGACTTGTGCTGGCCTTTTTACATGAGGCCCGTTGCAGGTTCTTTTTTAGGGTAGGCCTAGGGGTAGGGTTAAGTCTCTTCTTTATTGTGTTTGTTGGGGTGGTCGCTCGTTACTCAGAAGTCCTTCCTTATGACACCTACCAAAGCTCTTATGGGGGGGGGGGGTGCGCAGAATTTTCAGACAATCTGGTTGAGGCTCACATGCAGGTCTAGTTCAAGATTATCCATGAGCTCATAGACCGTGTCATTTTTCATGGACCTTTCAATTACACTGTGTGTGCTGTCCACTTCCATTTGCGTTTGTTATTTTTCAAGGTAATTGAGTTCCACAGTTTTGTGTTATCTAGTACAAATGTCGCTGATTGCATTTGACAAGAAAGCGTTGTGGTCTGATAAGTACAACCATCACTGCATATAATGAAAGTTGCATTTATTGTGAGTAGGCTCCTTTAGGACATTACTGACACAAGAAGAGATTTTATTGGCAATCAATGGTCCTTCTCCTTCATGCCAAACGTGACTCTTCACTTCTTTGGTTGCCAAATTTTAAAGAATATAGACTGCTAATTTGGTTCTGTTATGGTATAATGCAGCAGATGCCTTCAACGCCATACTAACAAATCTGCTTCCTAGTCCATGCTCACTGGACATAATCTGGTCCCATCCACTGGATTTTATGCAAGCTTCTTGTTAGATTCTTTCTATCTTGTATACTTCACATTGATCCTTCAAACGTACATGCAACAATAGGTTGCTCTTTTTTACTCTCTAAAGTCGTCTAGGACAATGTGTGATTCTTCACATTTTCTTTGGCACTCCCAATAAAAGCCTCCAAGGCTTTGAAAATGTTCGTCAAGATAGATTTTGCCTGTATACTGTCTTTAGTAATAGGAAAGCAATGTCGTCAAGTTTGTCAAAGAATTACTTGTCTCAAAATTGCTTGCCCTCTTCTGTTCTCTGGTAATATGACAATCGTGGAACTCCCATCTCCAAGTCATGTAAACTTCCTTTGCAACAGTCATAAATGACCACTGTATGAGGGCAGTTGTACACAATCTCATTGTTTTGCATACAGCTAGAATGTCACGGAAGATTTTCTTTCAAATTGAAGTGTAGAGCTGGAGAGTGGAAGCTGAAAGTTTTATTGGAATAGAGAATTTTCGGGGCGCGTATATTTATGAGTGGCTTTTTTTTCTCTTTTCTCGAGCGACATTATGTATCATCTACCCGGCACTGATTGAACTAATCAATGATTCAAGAATGGTACATGACAGACACAGCAAGGGAGGCACACTTAAAGTAAATTAAGAAACGCGAAAAGTCGCGATAAAATATTTTCCAATAGTTTGACAGAATATAAGCGCCCCTCAGCTGTCAATCAAAGATTTTTTAAAAGATTCATTAGTCTGTACTGTAGCTTTCGCCACAATTTACCGACTTGACCAATTCAGTATTATCATTTGATACCATCTTTCCTTTTATCAACAACACTACCAAACCTTGTGATAGATTACACAAACTACCTTGACAAAATCATCTGGGTATCGATAGGGTTCGATCTGAGTCAAAGTTAGCAAAGGTTGTTTTGATGTTACCCTCAGTCTGTTTTGACAAAGGCCACAACCGTGTAGGTCACGCTGCCTACGTGACAGGTGAACACATCAACAAGCCACAGAATCTGTGTGATTCAACCTCCCATTTGCCAATGGGCTGCGAAACCGGCACTTGGGTGGTTGAATCACGTGGACATTGAGGACTCTTGTGATATATTGGCGATTGCTTTACTGAAGGATTTAAACACTTTGCTGTAATCTTTCAAACACGGGATTTCAACATAATGTGTATGAAAGGCTGTACTACAGAAAGGGATTTAAAGGTGATTTTTGAACATTTTGTCACTTAGGCGGTTGAATCACGCGGCTAGCGAAATTCTTTTGCAGATTTAAATATTTTACCACAGTCACTTTCGTGATAGGGGGAATCTTCCAAATGTCAAATGTGGCATTTCAAACCCCTGCCATAAAGTCTTTATCTTTGGATGTCCTCCTAAATTCATCAGTTTAGTGAATGAATTCCTTGGTGGCATGCAGGCTAGGGCCAAGAGCCGTGGAAAACTATCAGAGCCTTTATCCTGAAACGAGGCAGTGTACAGACCACAACTCTTTTCAGCATTGTTTTCTCTGCATTGTTGCCAGAGGTTTTTAGTTCTCCCCCACTAGGTGTGACCGTTTGGTCATCCAGAACTGACATGAGTGTGCATGATTCTTGTCAGAAGTTAAAAGCAGAAAAGGCTGAAATGGTTCTGATATGTTATATGACCTCTTGTTTGCAGATGACTGTGCACTGTTGTCACATGTAGAGACCATCATGCAAGAATATATGGATTCTCTCCCCAGCACATACAGCTTTGGGCTCACCATCAGCATTTTAAAAAGTCCTCTAACCACCTGCTTAAAACTCAACAAACATTGCCCCTCATCAAACTGCGTGAAAGCCAACTCAAGGCAGTATTTCCACAGGATCCTAAAAAATTCAGTCATAGCCAGTGGGTACCTTATTATCTTTCTATAGGTTGGAAGTTATGCCTGGGTTCACCACCTCCATCCACAAGTATGATGGAGGCAACCTCCTGGGAGTAGACATCATCCACAAGATTCTCCGCATGGACACCTTCTTGGAGGGCATGTATAACCTCTATGACACTTTGGAGATGAATCGTCAGCTGAGTACTTTCCAGGAAGTGTGCTACAAGAACTACGTAGGCTCCATCGTCTTGACCCGGTGAGATTTAGCTTTTTTTATTCCTCACTCTTCTCCGATGTTTGACTTTTTGATTTTTAGGCAAACTAGTCTTTCCGGCCTCACAGAAAATCGGCATTAAATTTGCCACTTTAATTCTGAAACGCTGACAGATTTGACACGAAAATTTTACAACACATACTTTGAAAGAGGATAGAAGGAAGACTGAATATGAATTACTGTTGAATAAGAATAAGAATGGATCAAACTTCTGAAAATGTCAACAGTTCTGTTTGTTCCTTGTTGGGGGTGTCAGGTTCCACAGTTTATCAGTTTATACATCTGTCTGTTCCAACTTGCGAGCTGGTTACAAAATCTCACGGTTAGTAGGCCTACTCTGATAATTAGTTTATTCAAGCTCACAATTTAGGTGATGGCAATGATTACCGAGAATCCTACATCAGATTTTTTGTCATGTTGTGTGCTCTTCTCGTCTGTCAGCGTAGGTAGATTGTAGATGATAAACAAAACGTAAACTTCATGTTAGATCTTAAGGTGGTTTATGAATTCAAGATCACTTGAATGAAGTTTTATGCGTTCGTCTTTAAGATTTTTTTTTTTTTTCTTGGCTGTCTTTGACACCAAGATGGGGAAATGAAGGGGGGGGTGGTACCATTTCAAGACCCACTGAGGTATGTTCAGTGCCAACATCGTGACTAAGGGTAATTTTTGTAGAGGATGGGTGTTGTTATTGAAAAGCTGTCAAGAAGTTTTTCAGCCTGTTGGGTTGTGACAGTTTTCGCCCATGTAAGTCTTTTTTGTTATTGAATACTCATTTTCTTTTTGTTTTTACCTCTTTCCCCCAAAGGTACAATAATAAAACCTACAAAGTAGATGACATTGCATGGAATATGCGTCCCAAAGACACCTTTGAGAAAGGTGGAGAACAGATCAGCTACGTTCAGTATTATCAAGACGTAAGTGTACTTACCTATAATGGATGAGGTAGAAATGAAAAGCATAGCACTAATGAAGCACAGGTTGGAATGCAACAGGAATATTTGTAGAAACAGAATGCACTACAGTAGGATGGAGGTGTAAATGAAAGTAGCTGCAACAGTAAGGCTGGAAGTTGATTAAGAATTATGATTATGGAAATGTTATGAAGAATTTGACATGGGTGATTGGCGGGTGCTTTGGTGTTTGCTTCTTCTGTACTATCAAACATGTATCATGGGTGGTTGGTGGATGCTCTGGTGTGGTTTGCTCCTTTTTTCCTATCAAACATCTGTTGTCCTGATCTCTTCTCCTTCTTTTTTGTGTTTGTTACTCTCTTGTAACACCTCTATTCTTTTAATCACTTATATGACCTTATTGTGTTGCAAGTGCCGTAAAACTCTCGCTAAAACAAAACGTGTATCGTCCTCATCTCTCCTTCTTTTTGTGTTTGTTCCTCCTTTGTAACACCTCTAACCTTCTACACTTTTATCAGTTTTGTTTAACCCTCTGAGCGCTAAGCCATTTTTACCATTACTTCCCTTCAGTGCTAAGTTTATTTTAGAAAAATGCTAATTTTCAACATGGCTATAAAAAAACCCTCATATCTTTCTTATTTATCATAATCTCTAATTACAGTAAGAAGGAAAAATGTGTCTTAAACAATGAACTACCCTTATGTCTGGTCAGATGTGTTTTTTAATGATGTTGTTGTTATTTGTCTAAAAATCCTCATTTTTAGTCCAGCCTGCTTGGAGATTAGCAGGAATATCGACGTCCCCTTCTGGGCTTAACCTCGCTAGATCTAGATCTAGATATATCTAGATCTACGACACAATATCCCCATCATTCACACATAGCTCTAAATCTTTTATTTGAGGACCTAATCCTTCTAAATCTTTATCACAGTGGTCCGATTCCTGAAAAATGTTGGGAAAATCTGAGTCTAAATCAGCCGACGAATCCGACATTTTGAAAACTGTAAACAATATCCCAGAAAATTGCCGATAAAAAACTCCCAAACTATCCCCGACTGCGAAATGCGCGGCCAGCGGCACTAATAAACGTTGTGCTAGTGGACTGTAGTCACCAGCAGTTTAAAAAATGGCTATTATCATGTCAGCGGTATAGTTTCTACACTCATGTCGGATCACGACCGGTGGACGTGATGCACATGGAAGGGAGGTATGAGTCATCATGACCAGTGGTCGTGATGCGCACGCAGAGGGTTAAAAGATAGCAGGGTTAGTGATTTTTTTAATTTTATAAATAAAAATTTTAAAAATCAATTTTTTTCATTTAAATCAAGATTTTTTAGATTTAAATTGGATTTTTTTCATTTAAAAAAAAATGTCGACAGTTTTGGGATTTTTGTTGGCTAAAAGTAAGTTCTTGTAGAGCAAAATGCATTGTCTTTATTTTAACTAATGATTAATTTAAGCAACTGCAATTTTAGAAAGCCTTATTCTGCTATATACTATATATCAGTGAATTATGGCTACAGACAAAAAATGAAGAAAATGTCAGTCTAAAAGGAAGGGGGGGGGGGGGGTAATTATGCATAGATAAACTTGCATTTTATTACAGTGTGTGTGTGTGCGCGCGCTTGTGTTTGTCTAAAAAGAAAAAGAAAATGCTAATTTCAATTATGAAAAAAAAAGTAAATTGAATATATACAGTATTATTTTACTACTTACTGTGGCAGGGGGGAAAACAGACTTTTAAGCATGATTATTTTAGTCTACTAAACCTTATATCTGTTTTATAAAACCAAGGAAAGGAATTCTGAATGTTTGAAGATGTAAAAACAGAATACATTTTTAAAAAGTGATTTAAATTTTTTAAAAATATTGATTTAAATCGACCCAACCCTGGTTTTCAATTATGAAAAAAAAAGTAAATTGAGTACTGTATTATTTTACATTGTTTTATAAAACAAAGGAAAGGAATTCTGAATGTTTAAAGATGTAAAAACTGAATACATTTTTTTAAAGGGATTTAAATCACTGAGTTATATTTTAAAAATCAAGTTGATTTAAATTTTTAAAAAATCAACAGATTTAAATCGACCTGATTTAAATCAACCCAAGCCTGGTTTTCAATTATGAAAAAAAAAGTAAATTGAGAACTGTATTATTTTACAGTGACAGGGGGGAAAGCAGACTTTTAAGCATGATTATAATAGTCTATTAAACCTTATATCTGTTTAATAAAACCAAGGAAAGGAATTCTGAATGTTTAAATATGTAAAAACTGAATACATTTTTTTGAAAAGTGATTTAAATCACTGATTTTTATTTTAAAAATCAAGTTGATTAAAATTTAAAAAATCAACTGATTTAAATCTACCCAGCTCCGATTTCAATTATGGAGAAAAAAAAAGTAAATTGAATACTGTATTATTGTACAGTGAAAGGGGGGAAAGCAGACTTTTAAGCATGATTATATTAATCTACCAAACCTTATATCTGTTTTATGAAACCAAGGAAAGGAATTCTGAATGTTGAAATGTGTAAAAACTGAATAAAAATAAATTTAAAAAAAAGTGATTTAAATCACTGATTTTTATTTTAAAAATCAAGTTGATTTAAATAAAAAAAATCAACTGATTTAAATCAACCCAACCCTGAAAGATACCATGTCAAATTCGGCTCCATGACTTTCCTGTGAACCGAGCTCTCTTATAAATGAAAATCACTTGAAGTTGAAAAATTTTCATGTAGGTTGGTTGCTGACTTATCTTTTATGACACAAGTTTCATCAATATGGGCTGGTTTCGGAAACTTTCTGTTCATTCTAAATTAAAAAGTTGTTCCTGGTATTCTGTGCATGTCAGATGATTTTTAAAATTCTGGTGTCGGTTTGTGTTTAAAGGAATGATTTTACTGCATGAGAAATTTTGTTAAAAAGCTCAGATGATCAGCTTTATGATTAAATTATTGAGGTAGGGGTAAGGCGACCAGTTATGTTAACAAATATACCTTCCCTCTAATTCTGTCTTGCAGAGTCGAAGATGTGATATTTAGAGGATTTTCCCTGAGTATTATAGTTATTGACCATACCATACTCGGATTGAAAATGAATCGGAATTCAAATTAAGTAAGAGTGCGTGGTTAGCGGATGCACTGGTGTGGTTTGCTTCTTCTTTCCTATCAAACATTCATCGTCTTTATCTCCCCTTCTTCTTGTAACATCTCTTAATCTTCTGGCCCTCATATGACCTTATGCAGTTGCAAGTGCCGTAAAACCTCTACTAAAACCTTTAAAAAAATGAAGTAAGAACTAAGACCTTCCCATTTTGTAGATGATTTATGGGCACTATTGGCAGTAATCGTTTTGTAGATTCCTGCATTGTCATAGATTGTTAATTAATATTTTGTGTCATAGAATGTAAAACTTCAAATAGTATAATTACACTTATGTAATGTTGATTGTAAGAAAGTTTTTAAAATGTTGTTGCGAATATTGCCTTGTTTTTACTGTAATAATACTCTGTTTTGTTTGTATTTCCAGAACTGGAACATCACCATCAGAGACAAAGACCAGCCTCTCCTTGTGTCTCGGCCGACTGAGAGGGACAGGAGACGTGGGGACGAACAGAATCTCTACCTTCTTCCAGAGTTGTGCACTATTACGGGTAAGGGCTTGTAGACTGTCGTATGTATGCCCTCTTCAACACGATTTAGACCATTTAGATCCTGGTTTGTTTCAACCTGCCGTATCTAAGATTCAAAGAAAGACTTCGTCCTGAAAAAAAGGTGTGGGGTACTTGAAGAAATAAATTCTTTAAAAGTTGAATCAAACTCAAGATTTGTCTACAAGGATAAGTGTGTGACGACTATACCCCAGATGTTTGTATGTATTGTTTGAAAAAAATAAAAATTAATGTCGTATATTTGGATGGTTGTCATGGGAGGCATGGAAAGTCGCTGCAAGTTGAGCTGTAGTGGTATTTAGTCTGGGGTTTTTTTTGGTGGCTATTTTGTATAGCTGTGGGTTTTTGTTGTTTTTGTAGGTTCTGGGGCTCTTGTGTGCTTCCACAGGGTGTCCAGCAAAGTCGTAAAGTCGTAAAAAAGTCATAAATTCTGCGCCCGGGTCGCAAAGGTCGTAAATGGTAGTAAATTTGCCTTGAAGGTAGTAAAAATTTGGTAAATGGTCGTAAATTAGCCTGCATACTGAGTGATGAAGCCAGCAAGACTTTTCAGTGAACCCTAGCCGCGGTACATGACTCCGTTTTTGCCGGTCGCGATTGTGATATAATTATTCGTTCACCTTTTCCCCGTCCGAGAGTACGTTTCACGCAAAAAGCCGGCTATGGCGGCAGGTGGAAGTGAATGTGACACCGAGGCTCGATCGGGAAAATCAAGATCTACTTTCGCTTTCGTTACCACCCTGAAATTTGGCGTAGATAAACTGATAACGCAACATTTGTAATATGCAGGTTGTACAGTATACCCGCTTTGTCGCCGTGCAAATAAAATTAATAATTACTCGGACTCTTCACCGTGCTGTCACTTGTGGGGGAGGGGGGGGGGGTGAAAAGAAAATACAAGCGTCGTCCGATTTTTAGATTGTCGGGTTCGCCAGCGTGACAAGTCAGTGAACCTTCGCGTGAGGCACTACAAGGTACGGCATCGGTGAGCACCAGCGTTTGTTGGGGTCTCCAAAGTTCATTAAAAAGTCGAGCGTTGCGAAGTATATTACTGCGGAGTAGGGCAGGGATTATTGATTTTTTTTAAAGAGACACTCGGGGGAGGGGGGGGGGGGGAAGCGGATGAAGGCAACACAGGAGGACAAAAACTGTAAGCAAATTTCAGAATTTTGATTAGATTTAGAGCCCTCTGCAAAGCGCGCGTTGGTGCAGGCCTTGTGTGGAATCGGGATCCTTCATACCTTGTAAGCTGTGTTATTGAAAGAAAGTGTTCGCGTTTCTTTTGTTGGGTGATAGTAAATTAGAACAATATTGTAGCTTTCTGTTCAAGATTTTCAGTGTCACTGCCTCTTGCCCTCTCACAGTTCTTACACCTCTCACACTGAATAGGTTTACTCGAGTCATTACGTGTGTGTGTGTATGCGCGTTGTTGTTGTGTAACATGGCCCTGGAAAATGGAGAAGCCGGTTTGACAGTCAACCTGTGTGTACACATTAGGTATAAATCTACTCCCCCTCCCCCTCCCACCTCCACCAGGGCAGTGCTACTGACTGAAACGTCTTTAGGCCATTCCCAATGGGAGGATATTAACATGTTCTTATGCACTGTAGAATTGTAAATGGGCTGATTTATCAATATCATGCTCATACTGTGCTGGACCAGCGCAGGGGGAACTGCTGCCTTTTCTGTCCTCTTCTTTACTATCGTCATTTTCCTCTACTTCTTTTGTATGTTTGTCACGCTTGTGAACTACTATTTCCGGGGTGCCTTGATAGTCGAAACTTTTTTCCCTGTTTGGACTTCTCTGTTGACATCCACCCCTTGTCGCTCATATCACCTATGCAGTTGTGAGCACCGTAAAAACCTTACTAAAACTAAATCTAGCGGCGAGCAAGCTTGCGATGGTCTGTCTATCCTCCATTTTGTCGACTGGACTTTGTTGTGTGTTCTTTTCGTTCCATATGTTATGTAATAATAATGTATATGTTATTGATGGCGCAAATTAACTCCCTTTTTCGAGCTGGTGTGGGGTTTGATTTGCTGGGTAGTAAATTTTTTTTCCAGGTAGTAAATTTTTAAAGGAAATATTGCTGGACACCATGTTCCATGTAATGCACTGGTTAGTGAACAGGGGTGAAAGTTTTCCTGCCGGAAATTCCGGCTACTTGAACTCATCCGTGGGCCTCCCTCTCGGCCACGCCAGCTGGGCAAGTCTTCCTTAGCCTGCGACTTGACAGTAATTTTTATTTCGTCAACGTTTCGACAAATTTCCTGTTTTAAAAAAAAACATATCTACTTTCAGTAGGGCTGGGTACTATTCATTAACACACACACACACACACACACACACCCTGAATAAATAGAGGTACCTAGTATTCACAACTTTCGAATAGTCGAAAAAAAAAGTCAGAAACTAGATGCCTAGTAAAAACAGGGTGACTAGCCATGTCGCGGGGGGCCCGAAGCCGATTTCCGCTACTGCCATTTCCTCCGCTAAACTCCGCTACCGCGACAGCGGGCCAATCAGAAAGAGAGTTGCTGGGAGCAGAGTGACTGCCAGGCCTCGGGAATTACCCGGGAATTTGAAAAAAATCGCCTAGACGCGGGAAAATACATAAAAGATCTCGAATATTATTTGAAAACCAAATCCGATAACGTCTTTAAGTTCATTTTTGTCGGTCGCGATTGTGATATTAATTCGGCTTTTCCCGGTCTGAGAGTACGTTGCGAACAGGTGGCTATGGCGGCAAGCGGAATTGCATATGACACCGAGGCTCGGCCGGAAAATCAAGATCTCAGAAATTTGTCTGTAAAAGTCTGATAACGCAACATTTGTAACATGCAGGTTCTGCATTACAAACGTGGTGTCACCATGAAAATAATGTTCGTCACTGTGCTGTCGCTTGTGGGGGCAAACAAAAAAAAAAAGAAAAGAAAGTTATACAAGCGTCTTGTCGGGCTCATCATTGTGACCGGTCAATGAACCTACGCGCGTTCTGAGCGCTGCGAAGTACAGGACTCAGGAATTGGGGGAGATTATTGATTTTTTTAAAAGATGCACTCGGGGATGGGGGGAGGGCTGGACGCAACACCAGAGGACAAAAAAAGAAATTGGAAGCAAATTTTTAATATTTAGAATTTTGATCACTACTACAGCTCTCTGCTAAGTAAAGTGCTCGTTGGTGCATGCCTTGTGTATAATCGGGATCTGTCATAACTACTTGTAAGCGTGTTAATGAACTTAGGGCAGGGGCCTAAGTGTTCGCGTTTCAATGGATGGGTGACAGTAAATTATGTCTCTATATTTTAGCTTTTTGTTCAAGATTCGCAGATTTTCAGTGTCACTGCATCTTGTCCTCCCACAGTTCTTACACCTCTCACACTGAATAGGTTTACTTGAGCTATTCAAGTTATTACTCTACTTTGAGTTTGAGCATTCATTTTGTCTTTCACGTTTATTATATGAATCATTACACCCAGACTGGTTCATGACAGTCGATATTCTGGTTCTATAGGCCTTTTCTCAAGCTCAAAACAAGATTCATTTTTATATAGATTATATATGCAGGCGAATATGATGAAGGTAAAATATAAATAAGTCGCACAAGACCACAGTACGCCACCGCTTTCTGTACGTAATCAAGATTGTAAATATTTGGTAAGTGACTCTTACTTAAAATCACCTCCCAGACCCTCAAACTGGTATGAAATAACCTTACTTTGATAAAATGATGGTTTTTATTTCAACATTCTAGGGTCCAACAGTATAATAATATTGGGTGTCTCGCGAAAATGGGCTTCTGTCACGATCATGCGGAAAGTTCCTCCTTTTTTAAAATTCTGAGTTGAGACCCATGCCCAGGAATTTGATAAAAATCGCAGAGACCCAGGAATTTGAGGCATTCTGTAAATTGGATTTTCCCGGTCTGACAGTACGTTTTACGTGAACAGGCCGCTATGGCGGCATGCGGTAGAGTATGACACCGCGGCTCAATCGGGAATATCAAGATCTTCTTTCGCTTTCGTTACCACCCAGGGCTTGGCCGGTGACGGTCTGATTACGCAACATTTGTGGCATGCAGGATTTGCACTATAAACGCTGTGTCGCCATGAATATAAATCAATATCAGTTTTGTCTCTGTGCTGTCACTTGCGAAAAAAGAAAAGAAAAGCATGGTCCGATTGTCAGCTAGTCGGGCTTGTCATCTTGACCAGTCGGTGAACCTGCGCGCGTTCGGTAGTTGGGGTCGCCAAAGTTCATTCAAAGTCGGGGGGGGGGGGTATGTTATTATTTTTTTTTAAAAAGAAGCTCTCGGCAGTGATGGTCAGAAGGCGGCACCAGAGGACAAGAGACTTGGAAGCAGATTTTATAATTATCTTTTTAATTAGAGCTCTCTACAAAGCGCGCTTTGGTGCCGACCGTATGTGAAATCGGGATCTGTCATACTTTGAAAGCCTTGTTATTGAACTAAAGTGTACGCGTTTCATTGGATGGGTGATAGTAAATTATAACTATATTTTAGCTTTCTGTTCAAGATGGCAGATTTTCAGTGTCACAGCATCTTGACCTCTCTCAGTTCTTAAGACTCTCGCACTGAATAGGTCAACATGAGCAATTCAAGATTTTACTGTACTTTGAGTTTGAGCAATAACTTTTGTCTTTCACGTTTATAATATGAATCATGACAGCAAGACTCATTCTTGACAGTCGATTTTCTGGTTCTAGGCCCTTTCACAAGCTCAAAGCAGGATTCATTTTTACAATATAGTTTATGTATTATATATATATATATATAAAATGATGAGGGGGAAAATATAAATAAGAAAATATATAACAAGTGTAAGAACAAAGTAAGTCACACAAGGCTCCAGTGTGACGGTGAAATTTTGTGGACAGGAATCATGTATAATGTTGACTACATACTTGTGTGTGTGTGTTCCTGTGTATTACATATATTTAAATGAAGCAGGTGGTGTCGTTGTTATGTAACATGCCCCTGGAAAATTAAGAAGCCTACCCCATCCTTCAGGCCGTGTGAACTTTTCAGGCTATCCGTTCTCTAGAGAACAGAATTTTCAAGCTAAACCGTTTCTTGTCACTTTCACCCATGTTTGTGAAACCCCTTGTATATTGTTGTTCAGAATAAAAAAGCTCAACCCTTTAAAAAGTTTTCATTGATAATGTAGTGAGATTCAAATTCAAGAGGCTGTTGCTTTGTTCGCTTGCCAAATGTTATTTGAAGAGTATCATCTGCCAAGATATTGAGATGTGGAAAAGTAATTGAGGAATGGGCATCTTTACTTAAGACTTGTGATAATGGGAAAAAAATCTCAAGTAAAACAAAAAATCTGTAGAAAAGCAAGGACTAAAAATCTTTTATAAAATGCCCAAATTTGTTTGTAAGTTTGTGGCAATATTGTTTTTCATTACTGGGGCAGATGTACAGATTATTGGGAGATTAGAAAGTAATTATCTTTTTAGTAAAAGCTGTGTGCCAAATATTTGTTATAATTTTTCTCTCCTTTATCTGATAGTAATGTTTCTAGTTAATTGCCAATCTTTGTTGCTTATGTCTTCAGGTCTGAGCGATCAGGTGCGAAGTGACTTCAAAGTCATGCAGGATCTTGCGGTGCACACGAGGATAGCACCCCCACAACGTGTAAACACTTTGGAAACCTTTGCAAGGCAGATCAATAGGTGGGCTGTCCAACTGGAGTTTTTTTGTTGTTGTGTTTTGAAAAAAGAAATAAATTTTAGGTTTAAAATATTGAGAGCGTGAGGTAACCCTAAGTTTCCCCTTTCATACAGCTTCTGTCAGTTTTGAAGTGTTATGGTGCGTCACAGATTGGAGAATGGATGGTTGCAGGTGCTCTGGTGTGCTTCTTTCCTATCAGACATCGATCTCCCTTCTCTCTTTTTTGGGGTTTGTTATTCTCATGTAACACCTCTAATCTTTGGCACTTAGGAGACTTAATTGTGTTGTTGCAAGTGCTGTAAAACTCTTTACTAAGACTTAAAAAATACCCTAACAGATTGGAGATACTTGGGTACTGGTTAGTTATTGTTGTTCATGAAAAATGAGTGGTCTTGGGTCTGTATGTTCTTTTTTTTTTTCCTTCTGTGTGTGTTTGGTCATTCTTAACCTGCCTTGTGAGGGAAGCATATGAAATAAAGTTTTCGTGTGGTTGATATATTTGTTTAATCTTTATTATTGATTGTGAGGTGTTTTTGAAGGTATGGTCAATTTGTTTTATCACATTTTTTCCTTCTTCGTTTCTTTCCCCTTTGTTGTTTTTGTCTATTTTTCCCCCCCCGCACTAAATGAATATGTTAGTCAATGTGCACCTTTTTTCTTCAACAAACCAGTTTATTTAAAAAAAATTGTTATGTGGTATTGATTCATATTTTTTCTTGAAAGTGACTTGTTGACGGGTGCTCTGGTGTGATTTGCTCCTTACTATCAAATATCTATCGGCCTTTTTCCCGTCTTATTTGTGTTTGTTACTCATTTGTAACAATTATTATCTTCGGCCCTTATAATGATCTAATTTGTTTTGTTTTTGTAAAGTGTTTTACGGCGTTCGCAACTGCATAAGGTCATATGAGCGCGCGGGACACATCTAATATTTACAGTTGGTAGGAAATTTTGATTTTTGCCCGGGTGGCGGCCGAAGCCTACTCTTATCGATTTTAGACCACCAAGGGATCTTTAACATGCGCAGCTTGCACACGGGCCCTCCGAGATTTTTCGCCCTTGTCGGAGAAGGCTAGGTGTAGGTCTTTCCTATCAGAAGATTGGGGATGTGGCAGAAAGACAGCAGTAAGGAGGAGCCAAGGAGTAGCAGTAGAAAGGCTGCAGAAAGAGTCAGGAGCCCAGGGGAGGGGGCATAGGAGGTGAGGGGGTGGGGGCAGAAAGTGGAAATGAAAGCAGACAACAGAACATTGTTAAAGAGCAGGAAAGGAAGTGAAAGGAGACAATTTTAGAGAACATTTTTTGGTCGCTACCCGGAATCGAACCCGGGACCTTTGAATGAGAGGCCAACACCTTAACCTCTAGGCCACGAGAGCCTCCAATGATCTAATTGTGTAGCAAGTGCCATAAAACTTACAAAAGCTTTCATTGATTGTGTGTTGTTATTGAATGCCAGTTTATGATTACTTTCCTTTCATGTGTATATGTGCTTGTTGCAGCAACGAAGAGGCTCAGAAAGTTCTGCAGCCATGGGGCATGACCATTGCTCCGAAAGTGGTGGAGATGCAAGGACGAGAACTTAATGCTGAAAAACTACTTGTGAAGAACCCCAAAGAGAAGGCGGTAAGGTTTAAGCAGTGCATGATTGAAATATATTGAAATGTAACATCTTCGGCATATCTCCTGAGAAAAGTTTGTTTTAAACTAGACCTGCATGTTTGCCGACAATCGTCTGAAATCCGACAATCGCGACCCCGACCCGCGAACCGGCCGATGCTATCGCTGTATTAGTCAATGTTGAAAGTGCGAGGCCTGGCCGTGTGCCAGCGACCCCTTTTTCTCCCGTCGGCTTTGTCGGCACTTTCGTTTTCGTGTCGACCGCCGGCGCGCGCACCGCCGACTGCCGACGTCGGCGTTTCTGACATAATTGTCGGAACCTGAGTAGAGATACGAATACGAAAAAGTACGACGACTTAAATTATCTACTTTCAGTTTCTTGCTCAAGCGGCCATTTTGAATTTCGTTTGTTTACTGATTGTTCAGTTCATGTGGATTCTTTCAAGTCCGACTCACTTGTTCTACTCTAGATCGAGATTTATATAGATCATTATAGATCTCAATGGAGGATTCATTTTCCAATTCTATTGTGTCAAACCATATTATAGGTTGTGCTGTATTATTATGTTGGTAAAACTCATTTTATCAGGTGCGTGAATTATTTACTTAGAATAAAGATCTAATCTAGATTTCTAGATCTAGAATCTAGATCTAGCCTCCTAGACTCAGCTGAGTCCCTCTCTTCGGAATCGGATGCGGATTTCTCGTTCAAGGCCTAGATTCTAGATCTATTCCTATTCCCATGTTCTACTAGATTCTAGATCTAGATTTATTAAGATCACTGAGATCTATATGGAGGATTCATAGATCTTTATCCAATTCTATTGTATCAAACTCTTTATAGCAATGTAGGCCATATTATTTTTATTATAAATTATAAATGCTCCTTGTTTGTTTTGGAGTGTGCTTATTTCTTTCTTTTTTTTCTTTTTTTTTGACTTGTGCTGGCCTTTTTACATGAGGGCCGTTGCAGGTTCTTTTTTGGGTAGGCCAAGGGGTAGGCCGACAGGGTTTGGGTTAGGGTTAGGTCTCTACTTTATTGTGTTTGTTCGGGTGGTCGCTCGTTACTCGGAAATCCTTCCTTTTATGACACCCACAATTTAAAAGCTCTAAAGTTATAAGGGGGGGGGGGGGGGGGTGGGTTGCACAAAATTTTCAGACAATCTGGTTGAGGCTCACATGCAGGTCTATTTAAACATTAGTTTTGTAAATGCATTTAATTTTCATGGAATAGAAGCTTCATGAGCATTGACTTGGTTTTAAAAGCTGTTTTGTGTAGGTTAATTACCGTTGTTGTTTCTTTTTCTGTATGTATCCTTTTGACACATGTTTGCTTTATATTAAGGATTTGAGTACACACTGATATCTGCTCAACAGCAACCCCCTTGAGAAACAAGCCTTGGTTGCTGTTGGGTGTAGGTTGCCACGAACTAAATTTTACAGAGCCGTGGGGGGGATGATCTCACATCCACCCATCTTTTTCACTCTCTCTCACACACACACAAGTGCTAACCCTGGGGCAGTGTTGTAATGTTGGTAAATGAAAACATGAGAGAGCGTAGGCTTTTCAAGTGAGCTGATGCTTAATCACAGGATAGTAATGCTATGCACGGTGACTGAGGACAAACCTCCCCAGGAGACTTAAAGGAAGGTGACTATTTGTGAGAGGGCGTGGTTGATTTGCTCCTTCTTTCCTATCCAGCATCTGTCCACTTTTTTGTGTTTGTTACTCTTTTGTAACACCTTAAGCCTTCAGCACATGTATGACCTTATTGTACTGCAAGTGCTGTAAAACTTACTAGAACAATGAACACGACATAGTGTACTGTGTTTTATTTTACACAGCTGGCATTGTGAGGAGATTATAAAACAAATAAACAAGAGAGGAGTGATGCACACACACTGAAATTATAGGCTACTCTGACTCATGTTGTTCCCACTGTTTCTGAATTGCCAACAAAAAATTTTGTCTAATAAAGCGAGACCCTGCTACACTTCTTTTACGGACGCTGCTCTGGCTTCCTGTTGAGAGAAGAATTATGTACAAGTTGGCCACTATGTCACAAATGCTTGAATGATAATGCGCCATCATATTTATCAAATCTGTTTGAGACTGCATTCCAACTTGCAGTTTATGGTCTTCAGCTAACAAAAATAAATTTTTTTCAACTTTCTATGAAACTTAAAACAATAGGTAAAAGGGCTTTTGAATATCAAGGCACCAAGATCTGGAATGCTTTGCCAATTAGTTTAAGAGAGATCAAATTCAATGATTAATTCATGTGTTACAGGATGCCCAGCAAGGTCATAAATTCGTAAAAAAAGCCGTAAATTCGACACCCTGGTTGTAAATAGTAGTAAATTTGCCTTGAAGGTAGTAAACATTTGGTAAACGGTCGTAAATTAGCCTGCCTACTGAGTGATGAAGCCAGCAAGACTTTTCAGTGAACCCAAGCCGCGGTACATGACTGTTTTTGCCGGTCGCGATTGTGATATAAAATTCGTTTCCCTGGCCCGAGAGTATGTTTCACGCGAAAAGACGGCTGTGGCGGCAGGCGGAAGTGTATGTGACACTGAGGCTCGCCCGGGAAAATCAAGATCTACTTTCGCTTTCGTTACCACCCAGAAATTTGCCGGCGATAGACTGATAATGCAACATTTGTGTATTTATAGGTAGTTAATCTACCGGAACATGTATTAGCATAGCTGCCATTTTCCCGCAACTTTCCTCCGCTAGACCGTTCTTAGTCACAAATTTCATTTTTTTTCCCCACGCGGAAAACACCGAACCGGGAGAGAGACGAAAACGCGGTCTTTTAGGCCCAGTGCTAGTTTCACATTGTTTATTGTTGTGGAGTAACATAGTGTCGATCGGGACGTTAGCGCGCAGTAACATAGTGTCGATCGGGACGTTAGCGCGCCGAGTTGTCATTGAAATTGGCGGAAATTCGAGAAAAATTGATTCAGAATGTAAAAATAAAAGGAGCTGGAATGAGAAAGAAGCAGCCGGTGTGCGACTTGAAAAGTTCATTAGAAAATTGAACTAGATCTAGCCGTTTTTTGCGAAAGAAATCGCGGCCCGCGGCACTCCTGTACAATTGCGGTCCCGTTTGTTTACATGACGGCTATTGTGGCTGCTGCGGAAGTGAATCTAGATCTAGAAAATCTATCTCTAGATATAATCTAGATCTACACATATTTAGATATATCTAGATCTAGATTAGATAGCCTAGGCTATAATTTTAATTCAGTTTATCTCTAAATAAGAAACACTACAGGGGCACTAAGTGCAAACGGGACCGCAGTTGTACAGGAGTGCCTGCATCCTTGATCCGATACTGCTCTACGTCTATGTATGTACACGTTTAAAGTGAAAGAAATCCTTTTATGAGACACCAGCTGGCAAAAAACACTAGATTTTTAGTCACTAAGTCCAAACTGTGTCAAATTGACTCGAATGCTTGTGAGTCAACTTACTACCTTTATGGTTTGTTTTTTTTTTTTTTTTTTTTCCAAATACATTTTAATTCAGTTGCCTATGGTTAACAATATGACAGTTTTCCCTTCCAAAACTGTAGGCTAGATTTTCCAGTATATATTGCCTCTGGATCTCACTGGTTTCGGAGAGCGCGCGTACGCCTTCGCGTGAATTTCCTCCTTTAAAAAAATTTCTGAGTGGCAGCTATGATTAGGCGAAGTGATGTGCAATGATAGTCGCAATAGAGAGATGAGATTGTTTTGGTCTCTCTTTACTCATCTGCACCACACGAATTTAATTGATGTTTTTCCCTGGACTCTGCCTTTACTGAAGTCTCGAATCTAGATCTAGTTGTAATCTAGTTACAGGTTGCAGATTTAATAAATTGCCGACAGAGAGAGAGAGAGAAGGGGAAGGAGTAGATCTTGCGAGAACTTCCGGGCAAAACAAAATGGCGACCCGCGTAGTTCAGCTCGATTCGAAAAGTGAAAGAGCCATAGCATCTTTGTAGACGATCAAATTAGCTTACTTTTGTGCTATAACGTCATTTTTTTCTTTGCTTTTGTCAATTTGATCATCCACACCGATAGAAAGTATTTCGAAATTAGGAAAAACAGGTCTTGTTTCACACTGGGTGAGAATCAGAGCTGTTAAAGTACTTTTTAAAAAAGTATTTCAGTACAATCTAAAAAATGTACTTAAGTACAGTAAAAGTACTTTCCTATAAAATGTACTCGAGTACAAGTACTTTTTAAAAAAGTACTTATGAGTACATTTTGAGTACTTTCTGCTAATATGCTAAAACACTTCAGCGCTTATGCAAAACATCATATTTTATAACTTATCCAGTATATTTGACAAATTAGGCTATTTATTACTAAAAATGTAAACAGTATACAAAGCATTTGAATATACAATGTACGCACTGAACGGTGGAAATGGTCGGTGAAATTGAACAAAAAACAACCCAAACGAACAGACGCAACTAGTGGGTAAGTGATATTATGAATAGAAAATGTTTGAGCAAGACAATGAGATCAAATGTAAGTCAGTCCAAGAGGTCGGAAAGTTCTACAGAAAGAGTATCCAAATTGAAAAATGTAGATAGAAAGTTGCTCTTAAGAAAACATAAAATTGATGAAAATGACCCGCATAGAAATGGAAAAGTGCATTGAATTCTTCATTAACAAATCCTCAAGGAATCAATGTAGCCTTAAGCAAAAACCACCCAAAAGAGTTTAAAAGAAATTTAGGCAGCCTAAAAATTGTTAGATACGCATTGAGAACACAGTTTCAGTTTCAATTGATTATAGTGGTCTGACAGATTTTGCTCACACTGTGTAGTCCACGGCGCCAACGGCAAACCAAAAGACAATAGTTTCCTAGAGTCTAATAAGTGTAGTGTAACCAAAGATTCTCTACTGCAGTAGTCTCCGCCTAAGATCCCAGTGCTCGGAAGCAAGGAAAATATGGGATCTTAGCTAGGCTTTCTCAACTGAGAAAGCCTAGGATCTTAGCCAACGAAGCCAAGGAAGAATCTACAGTGACACATGAACTGACGTGACCCCTGGGTGGATTTATGACATATGGCAAGCAAAGAGTGGTCGACCTTGATGACCAATCACAGTGGCATGAGGCATGCCATAAATAACATTATATATACACACTCATTAGCCTATCGTGAGTCTTGAGATCTTTATCTATGTTTATCCAGTTGCCCCTCTCCTTTAAATTCGGGAAAAACTGCTTTCCATCGTCAGGGAAGAGTTCACAGTTTGATGTGATCCCGCCTGGAGCGAACTTGTAGGCCCTACCCACCCAGGGAGTGATGTAAGTTTAGGTGGTGAGGTCAGATGCGAGTGCGATGTTTGGGGAAAAGAAACGCATCGGTCAGTTCACACCTTGGTGTGATCCCGTCTGGAGCAAACACTGTACCGTTTCAAGGAGTTTTACAACGCTTGTGATCACATTCACGATAGTGGCTGATCTTTGAGGCGACGGGCTGTTCTTTGATCTCAACTTTTAACTCTTGGTGGTTGATCGGGTTTTTGTTCCGTAAATTATGATCAGAAATGCCCGCACTTACCCTTTCATTAAGCTACCAAAGTACTCAAAATGTACTTAAAAAGTACTCAAAAGTACTTTTATAAAAAGTATCGGAGTACAGTAAAAAAGTACTGGTTTCAAAAATGTACCGGAGTACAGTAAAAGTACGGAAAATTGTAACGTAAGTGCAAGTACCGGAGTACTTGTACTCCGTTACTACCAGCTCTGGTGAGAATAGCCAACGCTGGCAAGTCTCACCCGGGGTGAGAGGTCAATCGTAGGGTTTTTATTCCCACCGCGGGTGAGGATAGCCACTTCCTTACTTAAATGATTAGGTGATTAAACTTGATCTCTTATTGACAATATAAAAGTCAATTTAAACTTCATTTCGTTAGAAAAAAATATGTTAGGTTTGCTAACTTCTTAGACTTTGTGTTAAAGAAAACAATGTGTTAGGTTTGCTAACTTCTTAGACTTTGTGTCAAACAACACTTTTAACAAAACGAATCCTTACAAGCCTAGGCTTGGCCTTTGTAATCTCGAAAGTTTAGAAGTAGAAGTAGAAGAGTCTACTACTAGAGTCTAGAGTCTAGTCCAATTTATTTAATCTCTTGAATGTACTGGATAACAGAAATCTGCAACCTGCCACTAGATTACAACTCTAGATCTAGATCTAGATTCGAGATTTTAGTTAAGGCAGAGTCCAGGGAAAAACTTCAAGAAATTCTCGTGGTGATGAGTAAAGAGAGACCAAAACTGTCCAAAACAATCTCAATAAATAATATATCGCGACTATCACGGCACATCACTTCACCTATGTTCCGTGTCAAAGGTTCTTATACCTCTCACACTGAATAGGTCTACTTGAGCCATTCAAGTTATTGTTCTACTTTTAGTTTGAGCAATAATTTTTGTCTTTCACGTTCATAATATGAGTCATAACACCCAGACTGGTTCTTGACAGTAGAAATTCTTGTTCAAGGCCCCTCCGAACGCTCAAAGCAGGATTCATTTTTAAAATATAGATAATAATGAGAGGAAAATATTATAACCGATTGAAATACTTACGTCAAACAAGACCCCAGCGCGACACTGGCATGTTGTTGACTGGATATATTTTACGTGTGTGTGTGTATATTATGTAACATGGCCCAAGAAAATTGAGAAGCCGGTTTGGCAGTCACCCTTTGTGTACACGTTAGGTCTAAATCTACCCCTCCCCCTCCCACCACCACCAGGGCAGTGCTACTGACTGAAGTGTCTTTAGGCCATTCCCAAAGGGAGGATATCAACATGTTCTTATGCACAGTAGAATTGTAAATATGGGCTGATTCATCAATGTCATGCTCATACTGTGCCGGACCAACTTACGGGGAACTGATGCTTTTTCTGTCCTCTTCTTTACTATCGTCTTTTTCCTCTACTCCTTTTGTATGTTTGTTACTCTTTTGAACTACTATTTCCGGCGTGCCTTGATAGTCGAAGCTTGATTCCCCGTTTGGAGTTCTGTTGACATCCACCCCTTGTCGCTCATGACCTATGCAGTTGCGAGCGCCGTAAAAAACCAAATCTAGCGGCGAGCAAGCTTGCGATCATCTGTCTATCCTCCATTTTGTTGACTGGACATTGTTGTGTGTTGTTTTCGTTCCATATATTAGGTTAGTAATAATATATGTTATTGATGGCGCAAATGAACTCCCTTTTTCGAGCTGGGGTGGGGCTTGATTTGCTGGGTAGTAAATTTTTTTCCAGGTAGTAAATTTTTTCAGGAAATATTGCTGGACACCCTGTGAATTCTTTTCTGTTTTTAAATCGATTAGATGAATATTTAGAGAGATTTTCTTTAGGTCAGACCACAATGTATTATGTTACTGTTGTATTGTAAAGCGCTCAGAACCTGTTTACTTTAATCAGGGTTGAGCACTACATAAATGTCATTTATTTTTGTTATTATATTTTGTGGTTATTTATAGGAAAATTCTGTTACACAAGTTAAGGTTGCAGTTATGCAGGGGTTACAAGTTACTCTGGGTTGCTGTCGAGTAAACACCAGTATTTTTGCTGCAATGGTGCTACCACTAGTGACAAGTTGATTTCACGAACTTTTAAGTCTCCTCCTTTCTCTCTTTTGTCATTTAGACCATGGAGATCTCCTATGACATTCAATATGCAGACTGGAGCCGTAACATGCGAAACATACATCTCCTGAACGCTGTCCCCATGACCAACTGGCTTGTCATCTACCCATCGCGGTGTGGTCAGGTTGCTGGTGAGCTCTCCGACTGCCTCATCCGCGTTGGGAAAGGCATGGGCATGCAGATCATGCAACCTTGTGGGTAAGTGGCATCATTATCCTCCTCTTTCATCCTGGTGTCCGGTAAAGACCACCAAGAAAGACTCTCCACCTGTCTCTGTACTGGGCGAGCTTCTCCTCCTCCAGCTAGCTGTGTTCCATATGCCGGGATCTGCTCCCAGGTGGATTTACCCAAAAGAGTACTGTGCATTGTTGTCTCAGTGTGTGTTCCAGGGGCTGCAATGTTTCACCTTTTTTAAAATGTGTAAATCATATGAAATTTTGGTTGACTTGAGTTACTCATGTTTTGGCATGTAGATTACAACTTACGGCTGACAGGTCACTTGATGGGGTCTGTAAATGCCATGATTTTGCTCAGTTGTAGTCTAGTTTGATCTTTCCTGTTGCTCCATGTGATAGAGTGTGTAAATGCTATGAAGTCATTCAGTTGTTATTAAGGTTGTTTTTTGGGGGGTTTTTTCTCCCGTGTTTTTAATTTGTGAATGGTCTTTCATATTGGCCGCATTTTTCTCTTCTCTAGTGTGGAAATCACTTCGGACAGAAACGAATCGTACCTGCAGGCAATTCGCCAGAATCTCAACCCTCAGGTTCAAATGATTGTGACTGTTGTACCAAACAACAAGAAGGATCGCTACGATGCCATCAAGAAGAGCTGCTGCATCGATAATCCAGGTGGGAATTGGTGTGCATTAATTTTGTGGTGTTGAACAGTGTCACAAGTGATGCTTGACAGTAAAACATTGTGTACATTACCATAGGTACATTATGGTTTAGTGTTCAGTTGTGTGACATGAGTGATGTTTGTTAATGTTAGTACATTGTGGATGTTTAGCAAACACTCCTTTGCAGTTCGGTGGAATCGCTGAAAAAGAACTCAGTATATAAATGCACGGTACCATGAACTGCGCCAAAGGGATGAAAAATGAACCAACATTCATGTTGGCTTAGCAAAGGGAGCATCATTCAAGTCAAATTTGGACCCAGTTGATAACTTTGTCTGACCCCTTTGGTACAGCTTGAAATCTGTGCATAGCGAATTCCGTACATATGGGGAAAATTTTCCATGTCCCGCTGATTTCACTCTTTGTGCAAGACTTTTGGTTACCGTTCAGCAAAGAAGTAGTGTGCTTGGCATATGTCCCAACATGTACTATAAGGGTCAAGTCACATGTCTGGTATCATTGAAGTAATGTCTGAGACATTTTTGTTTTGCAATTTTCCAGTATGGTAAGAAATCAACATTTTATATCTTACATTTCTGTTGAAATGATAGTTGGAAAAAATGGCTTTTTTTTTTTCTCCTTTTAACCCCAGTTCCGTCCCAGGTAGTTTTGCAGAAAACACTGTCAAAGCAGCAGGGCTTGATGAGTGTTGCGACCAAAATAGCCATTCAGCTCAACTGCAAAATGGGCGGTGAGGTGTGGGGAGCCGTTATTCCCGTGAGTATCTTGTTGTCTTTGAGCTGCATCGCGGGTTGGCTTTGGTGTTTTTCTTTTTGTTGTGATAAGGTTGTTGTTGTTTTTTTCACCAAGTCCAGACCCCCCCCCCCGGAGATCGGATTTGTTTATTTCATAGAGCGGCGGGTCTGCTACTCATACCTGCCAACCCTACAGAAAAAATCGGTAGGTCGCCGACTTTTGGGTCAAACTACCGATCCACCGATTTTGAGATGAAGCCACCGACTTCGGGATTCAGCAGGGTGACTGCCAGGCCCCGGGAATTTGAGAAAGTTATCAAATATTTGAAAACCAAATCCGATAACGCCCGAAAGTTCATTTTTGCCGGTCGCGATTGTGATTCATTCGGCTCCCTCGAGAGTATGTTTCTTCA